TAAAACCCAAAATTTGAAAATTATCATTTTTTTATATTGCATAATTCTAAATACCTCTTTGACAATGTACTGACTGTGAACAAAATAAACTTTTCACATTGTACTAATTTTGTAGCTCTTCAAACAAAAAGATAAACGTTAGATAATTGTACAAACTACATGATATCACATTATTTACTATTGTCACTCATCCATTCAAATTTTATTGAACATTTAATATGTTCAGAGAACCATGTTGTGTGTTCAAGGTTCACATACTAATATTTCAGAAAAAAGAAGCAAGCAACCACTATGACCCTTGTCTTTGGGAGATTTGCTTCTAGGAAACTCCATATGCATTAATTTTAAATTTTATTTTGGGAATAGTCCATTATTAAACAAAGTTATATAAATGTTCCCCTAGCACTGTGTGTCAACTCTTTGAATGTGACTCATTTGCAATTTCAGGAGCTGGAATATAGAACAAAATTAGTTGAAGTGAGGAATGTGACTCTTTGTACATGTTATTTTTGTTTTTATTTTTACCTTCATGTGAGTTAGCCTATTTGTATTATAAACTAAATAGTACCATATCACATCCTTTCCTCTTTTTTCCCATACTTGTTCAATTGGATCTTCTATGTTTCATCCTTTTTTTCCTTGTAATATTGAAACTGAAGATAATTTTTACATTTTATTTTATTTATTTTTATTGTGCTTTAGGTGCAAGTTTACAAAGCAGAGTTTGTTTTACATTCAACCTTATGTATACATTTAGTTTCACTCCCCATATCCCCAACACTGATCCAGTCTCCTCCCCTCCCTGTCCAACCAGTAACACACACACACACACACACACACACACCTGTGCCCCTCATAGTTATGCACTCCTGTGTGTCCTGTATTTCTTCCATGTGAATGTTGCCCCTCTGGTGCCCTGTGGTTGATGGCTCCAAGGTATGGCTCCAAAGTGCATCACCCTGGGTTTAATACATCTCTCTCTCTCTCTCTCTCTCTCTCTCTCTCTTTCTCTCTCTCTCACTGCCTATGATTGATTGTGACTCATAGCAACTCCCTTTGGGTTTCCAAGGCAATAGCTCTACAGAAGTAGATCACCCAGTCTTCCTTCCAAAGAGTGGCTGGTGGGTTTGAACTGCCAGCCTTCTGGTTAGCAGTCAAATAAATGGCTTAGACACTATGCCACCAGATGAAAAATAAAAATATTTAATGTTTATCAAACAATAATATAAAAATCAGAACCATTTCAGATAATTGTATAAACTACATAACATCATACTATTTAGTTCATCGATTCAAATTTTATTGAACACCTATAATGTGCAGAGGAGCTCTGGTGGCATAGTGCCCTAAGCCATTTGACTGCTAACCAGAGGGCTGGCAGTTCAAACCCACTAGCTGCTCCTAGGAAGGAAGGTTGGGCAATCCACTTCTGTAATGATACTGCCTTGGAAACCCAATGAGAGGTCACTATGAGTTGGATCCGACTTGATGACAGTTGGTTATTATGTGCAGAGAACCATACTTTATGTCCAGGGTTCATGCACTGGTGTTTCAGGTAAAACAAGCAAGCAACTACTTAATGGTGACTTAAGAAATTACCAAACTATGGAAAAGTGTTTTAAAAGAATTCAGTTCCTAGAAATATGTATCCTCTTCTATCATAAACTCCTTACGAATGTAATTTATAATGAACCTGTACAGTGAATATTGAAGTTGTGAGCATGCAAAAAAAAGAAAAAAATCAACAACAAAACCTAACTTTTCTCATTTGACACAATTCATGGTCCTTAGATTAAATAGCTTCAGCCTTTGAAATGCTTGCTGTCTCATATGTTCATGTCATTGAGGATGGTCCTTTAGAAATAATGTACATTTCTCTGTGTCATCAGAATTCCCTGGTTTAAAATATATTTTCATGTCCATTATGGGAATAAACTATTTTTGCCTATAGGAACAAGGGACAATTATAATTTACTCTTCTTATTTAATTATTTCTTTCTCATAAGAAGCAAGATATTGGAGAACCAGATGGATTTTTTCCTTCAAGGCTTTCTACTTTTTCCCCTCCACTTGCTAAAAGATTGAGATACTCTTAAAATGAAAGAAAAAAAACAAACTTCAGTATTAATAAAAGCAAATCATGATATTGAATAATTATATTGAGAGCCATTGATTTGATCGTGGGTCTGATTTAGGGTTTCATTTAACTTTGAAAAGATTCATAATTTTCCTAGGATAACAGCTGGTAATCCTTGGTTGCTTTTGGAAATCAGAACTTTTTGCCTAAAGGAAAATTCAAATTATGGTGTTCTTTTTCTTTTTCTTTTTTTTTTTTTTGCTTTCTTTAACCTTTCTTTCTACCTTGAAATAACATGAAGTCCAAACTAGTGATGGAAGTTCTATTTGTGTTCATTTAAGATCCTTTGGAAGTTCAGATAAGAAAAAGCTTACTGTTAAAAAGGTGCTTTCATGATACTGCTTCCCTGAATAAGAACATTTGAAAAGACCTATCTCCAGTTTGCTTAAGAAAAACTTATCTGCAGTAAATTTTAAGTGAAAGTTTTTGTTTTGTTTTGTTTTGTTGCTTTCCCCATAATCCATCATTTCATTGTCTGAAAACTTTCTGGTTAAGCTTTCAAGGTTTTTATTTTTTATATTGTGATAAAAAGTTAAGTGATGAGATTAAATAACATACCACAAGCAGTTCTCAATGGACAAAACTCTGGAAAGAACCCATATTAAGAGCTTGTGAAGAGAGAGCTTCCCACTCAATCTAACAAAGAAGAAATTCAAAAGAGATTTTGGCGTGATTGCTCTTTATCAAGTACTTTTTTGCCTGCTTCTAGATCAGATGTCTGTTGGGCTCCATGTTTTGTTCAAATGAGTCTCATCACCATCTCCCCCGAAATATGTATTATCATTGAAATTTAAATGCTACGTAAGATAAGTGAGTGTGGTCTTTGACCAAGGGGGTTTATTTTTCAAAGAAGGCATTTTGGTATCCTACGAATTCCTTGATCTTACTGAGGTCCTCCCATGAATGGTTTCAGTTACTGAAGTGGATACAGGCACCTGAGAATATATTGTGCAAGTTTTTCTAGCAGATCTTTGAGCCTATGTACCCATTTTGGGAGCGCAAATGGCAAAGTTTTATTTTGTTGAGAGTATTTGGCATGCCGTCATCTTTCAGTCTTCCTTGGGTTTCCTGATGACTACTTTATTTTTTCTATTTTATCAGTAGAAGAATCACTCTTTCTGACTCCTTTACCTCTTCAGTTGTTAAAAATGATGGGGAAGTTCTTTAGTCTAATAACTTCTTATCTTTTGCTTACTGAAAAATCTTTAGAAAATGAGTCAGTTAAGCTGTGGAGCAAAAGTTCCATAAATAGAGCTCTGGCAATGGGAGGAAAGTAAAAGATTGTTGGGTCTAAAAGGAAGAATCAAATGTTGCTCATCAGTTTTAAAAAGGACCTGAAGAGCAGATGAAAGGGTCTTCTTTCAGTTTTTCTGAAGCTGTATTGTAATGACAATTTGGTTTTGTGTGTCTGTGTGGTTTTGTTTTTGTTTCGTTTTTGACTTCACAGGAAGAGGTTTAAACATGAAGGCAAACTTTTTAGATGTTAGCATGGCTACATATAAAGCAAAGCTGCCTTTTTCTTTTATTTTCTCTGCTTCCATTTAGGCCTATCACATAATTTAAGAAAAATTAAAATTTAACCACAGGAGCTCTAACTATAGTGTGAAAAAAAAAAAAAAAAAACCTGATCAATTTTGTTTTTGCAGCACGATATTATCAAAGATTTAAGAAACAAATTTGCCAGCCTCGGCGAGAACTCTCTGGTAACAGCATAAATGTCTGTGTTGGTTGCTTTTAATTTAAAGGTTTCTTTTTTCATTTGTTTAAGCCCATTTATTTTCCTCCTCCTTTTAGTTCACTTTATTTTTCATATTCTCTAACTAGCAAGCCTTCATTTTTTAAACCTCTTCCATCTCCCAGTGTCTATTTTCTGTACTTTGGATGGAAAGTTTATGGCAGCAAAGCTGTCACTCTGGCTACCTCTGCTGCAGCTCTTCCTGCTCTTAGGTCATATATGTTTTGGCCATTGTGTTTATGGACATGATACTAATTGACTGTTTCATGTCCCATTGACTAAGCTTCTCTACCATGCCATTTGATGGACTCGCTGTCATAGGGCTCTATGCAACTTTCATTCTGCAACTTATACTGCTTAGTTCCGTCTCAATTCTCCAGCAAACTGGATTGCTCAAGTGAATGATCATACCAGTGTTAATATTGCTGTGCCTTTATATTTTATTTTTTATTTTTCTTCTTTATGTTTTCAGTGATAGTTTAAGTGGAAAAGAACAAACCAGCCATTGCTCTAGCAGCACCATGCAGTATCTTTTGTTACCTCCAGATAATACAAAATATAAAGGCACATTGCATCTTTCATTCTTTGGGGGTGAATGGGGAAATCTGTATTTTTATGAGCCCACAACTTAGTTGAAGCCTAAGTTTTTTTTATCTATATCAGCTTTCAATTTTGCTTAAACTCTTAAGACATCTTAGTTAAAGTTTTTCTTTGATTGAGTGATAACTTGCAACTCGAGCCATTTGCTGAGCAGTATCAAGTTATGGCCATGAGATGGGAAATTATTGAAAATGGGACAAACTTATGCAAAAATGTCTAATTCAGAAAGTGCAAGTTTAAATGATGAAGTGCAGTACTTCAAAACTCTGATAGAGGCTTTGGACTAATCAAACCATTAAAATTGAAAAAATCCATCTTGATAAACCAGTACCAAAATATTAAGAAAAATATAAAGGAAAAACCCAAGAGTTAAATATGTTAATACCTGTTTAATGACATTGTTGGTGTTGAAATGGTCTATAATGTTGTCATAGAGCCCATACATGAAGAGATGACTAAAAATATGGCCTTTAGAAAGCTGCTGTGTATACTGAATACCACAACTTAAATAATTGGATTTGTGTTCAGGAAAAAGAAATGGAAAAGCAAAAGCTTCTCTACCAGCAAGCCAGACTCCACGATCGGGGTGCTGCTGAGATGGTACTGCAGACGATCAGTGCCAGCAAAGGTGAGGATCCTTTCACCACCCACAGAAGTATTTATTCTCCAGATTTTCTTTTTTCCCTCTGTAGCTGCTCCCTTACATAAATTCCACTGATATATTTAGTCTCTGAATTTTTTTATTCATGACTGTTTCAGATGACTCTTCTGTAACACCAGCTCTTTTCATTTACTGAGTCTGATGTTGATTTCCTTTTTCCAGACCCTTTCTAAAAGATTTCTTTTTATTTCTGTCCTTTATATCCTGGGAGCTACACTATATTATGACTTAACACATATAAATCCAGGATCAATAAACTTCTACTGTGAGAGGCCAAAGAGAAATAATTTCCGTTTTGAAAGTCATAGGATCTCTGTTGCAACTACTCAGCTCTGCCATTGTAGCATAAAATCAACAAGAGACAATCCACAAAGAAATGTGTGTTCTAATAAAATTTTACTTACAAACAAACATGTGAGCAGTGGGATTTGGCCTTTAGGCCAGATTTGGCTGACCCATAATATAAATGGTTGTTGTTGTTGTTGTTGTTGTTGTTATGTGCCGTCGAGTCAGGTCCGACTCATAGCTACCCCTCCTTGGGTTTCCAAGGCAGTGTCACTGTGGTAGTAGATTGCCCCATCTTCCTTCCAAGGAGTGGCTGGTGGGTTTGAACTGCCACCCTTCTGGTTAGCAGTCAGGTACCTTAGGCACTATGCTACCAGAGCTCCCAATATAAAATTAGACTTCCTAAAGTATGTACTTTTTAACAATTGAAGTACTATTGTAAATTTCAGTAGCCTGCCATTTCAAGATGCTTGGTCTTACATTAGTAATGTCTTTTTTAAGAAACACTTTTAATACAATTTTTTATGGGATAGAAAAGTAATGGTAGTACAATCTATTATTAAGCTGCTGCCGCTAAGTATAGATATGATTTATTTTCTAAGATAAATAAAAGAAAATAACATAAAAAAATAAAATATACTAAATAATAACTGGATTTCAAAATTTTATAATTACTATCTGGATAATTTAAAATTATTCTAATAAAGTAAGACTGTAAATATATTAAGGAGCTCTGGTGGCGTAGTGAGTAAGGCATTTGGCTGCTAACTAGAAGGTCTTTGGTTCAAACCCATGAGCTGCTCTGCAGGAGGAAGATGAGGCAATCTACTTCTATGAAGAATTACAGGCTTGGAAACCCAATAGGAGTCAGTATGAGTCAGAATTAGCACGACGGCGGTAGGTTTTTGGTTGATGAAATATATTAAGATAGAAATGATGAGATGAAAATGGTAAAAGGCATTCAACTGTAATATTGCTAGAGTGAGTGTAGAGAGAAATTTTCCTTAAAGCACATTTTAATGAACACTTATTCATTTAATATTATTCTATACACATGATTTATTTGGAAGTTTAGTGATTTTAGATCTCAGTATTTCGAAATCTATTGTTTCTTTTTTATTCTTTTTTTCTAGAATCACATATAATTTTAATTATCATTTCAGTATATTTTAGTATTACGCAGAACTTAATAAAAACACTGTATTGATATATACATTATTACTGTTTTAATAATTTTTGATAGATACATCAGTCTGCCCCCCTGCCACCATTGTATAGATTTGAAGGGGATAATAATAATTTTTAAAGTAATATTTTGAGCTAGAATAGGTTAATGTAACAGATAAAATAATACAAGAAACTCTTTTTTTTCCTGAAGGTGAAATGGGGCCAATGGTAGCTGCTACTTTGAAACTTGGAATTGCCATCTTAAATGGTGGGAATTCAACAGTACAGCAGGTAACATCTTTACACAATGATGAAATGAACTCTTCAAATAGATGGATCACATTGTATAAAAACTACTAACTGTAAAATTTTTCACTTTCTATGTAAAACATGTCTCTTTTATGATCAGGTTGTCCCAGTATCTAAGTAGCTACTAGTTAGTAAATTAAACACTTTGTGAGAGGCATTAACTCTCTTTAGATGTCAGAAGACATTTCACATAGTGCCATCATTTGAAATGCTATATTTTATATGCCTAAGTCAACAATTTTTGAAAATTTAAATAAATATTCTTACATATTGTATCTGTTTTAGCACATTTTTATAGTGTAATTTTTCCTATAAATTGATTCTCAGAGTTTTATCAAGGCTGCTAGGTTAATATGTTAACAGAATACACTGTTATGGATATTTTTGCTATAATTCTTTTCTGTCTCTTCACCCATAAGAAAATCACCTCCCAACCAGATTTTGTAGCTTTGTTATGTTTAAAAGTTGGATGTGATCTGGGCTGGGATATGATCTGGCCAAAGTCTGTGAGTTAGTTAAAATGAATATGCTTAAAAAAAAAAAAAAACTATTGAAAACATATTGCCACAGCTTAAGTACTGTACATCTCTCGGGAACTGTTTACATGGACTGCAATGTGGTCCTGAACAGAAAAATTCTTTGAATAATTGAAAAAAAGAAAAAAACTAAACTAAAACAAAGAGTAACTACAGTTAAATAGGAGACTGTATTATTCTAAATCTAAAATCTAAATATGATTTTTTTAGTTTTGACTTCTATATGAGAAAGGGTCAAGGGTTTATTACCATGAAATGAATTACCCACTATCTTGGAAAAGTGTTAGCTAGAAAGTTACAGAGCTACCCTGCTAGAAGAAATTAAGGGCTAAGTGAGAAATTTAGAACATTTGACTCCAAGCAGCTGTAAAATTTAATAATGACATTTTGGTGATAAGTCATTATTGTGCTCCTAAAAGATCATTGAATCTCAGAAAAGAAAAGCAGAGAAAATCTAAATATTGCTTTTGGATTTGTGAAATTTTGAGTTAGGTTAAACAGCAACTCAGAATATTTCAAATTTTCTTCTTTAAATTTTTCTTTCTGTACTATTTCTGTAAATATAATTACAACGTTTTAGGACTGGGAGAGAACATAGAAGAAATACTCTTATTCAAGCGTTCTTAAACTTTTTCCATTTTATTATTTTTGTGTTATTTTTATTTATTTTTTTTAATGCCATATACTCCCTCTGACAGGCTGGTTAAGCCTTTACAGCCCTTTCAGAATCATGTTTTTAAATGCACAATATAAAATTGCATAGGTTTACATAAGAAGCCAAATGCATTGAAATGCAATTATTATCAAAGTATCATCAAAACAAGGTTTTGATCAAATAATATGTACATTTCTTTATGAATTCATTAAATAAAAATATCTGATACTTGGTCATATAATGACCATAACTGTGAAAAAATAACTAGTATAAATATTTTGAAACATGGAAAACAGTAAAGTGATATGAAAATATCTGGAATTTCTACTGGTGAGAGAATCACAGTTACTGCTAAAACTACTTTGATTTCTTGCCTGCTTTAATAGTTAAAAGTTATGCTAAGTTTATTTGGAAATTAGTGAAAATAAAGATCTAGTTTTCCTGATCCAGTTTCACAAATGTCTGGAATTGCCCCAAACCCCAAGTTAAGAATCTCCGATCTTTCCTTTTACAGGAGAAGCAAAATTAAGTCACAATGTATTCTTTCTTCTCTCCCTCATTGAGTCACACATACAGGAAGCCTGAGCATTTGCACTAAGGGATTGTCCTCCAAGGTGAACTTGGTGGTCACTTCCCCAAAAACCCAACAGAGAACATAGAAGGACAAAAACCCACTTACAAACCCAAACACCAAATGGCAATAGATAACACAAAAACATTTGTCTAACTGTGTCTTTTCAGCATGAGAAATGAATTCTCATATTGCCACGTGAACCACTCTCTGGCCATCCTCACACCAAGTCATGAATATGTGAACAGAATGTTTGGCTTTTAGAGATTATTAGGTGACCATTTCTGTGGATTTGCATTGTTGTTGTTGTTATGTTCTGTCGAGTTGGACCCACTATAAGCTATATGATTTAAAAAGTAAAAAAACAAAAGAAAAAAGGGTACTTAAGGAGCTCTGGTAGCATAGTGGCTAAGGCATTTGACTGCTAACCAGAAGGCAGGCGGTTCAAACCCACCAGCCACTCCTCGGAAGGAAGGTTGGGCAATCCTACTTCCGTAGTGATACTGCCTCGGAAACCCAAGGAGGGGTCGCTATGAGTCGGGGGCCGACTCGACGGCAAACAACAACAGCAACAACAACAACAATAATCTCTCCATAGGAGCTCTGGTAGCATAGTGCCTAAGGCATTTGACTGCTAACCAGAAGTCTGGCGGTTCAAACCTACCAGCCACTCCTCGGAAGGAAGATGGGGCAATCTACTTCTGTAGTGAGACTGCCTCAGAAACTCAAAGAGGGGTCGCTGTGAGTCAGATCTGACTCCATGGCAGTGAGTTTGTTTTGTTTGTTTTTTTTTTAATCTCTCCATAATATTTATAAAATAATTTCCCTTACTTTATGCTTCACTTCAGAAAACTTTCATGTATAGCATGTATACATTCAGAAATCTTTAAAGCCAGAAGAACCCTTGAGAGAACATGTAACATATATCCCTAGTCTCTACATAGATTTATTTCTTTTTTGTAGAAGAACTTCAAATATAAATTCTACCTCTTCCTTCTGGCCTTCTAAGCCACATTCCTTTTGCTTCAAAGACCAATAATTTATAAGTGCTTGATTTTTTATTAGACCAAAAAGCAGTAACATACTCCAAAAATGGCTGTATTTTTCCTGTATCTGTGTATATATACCTGTGCGTGTATATATGTGTGCATGTCCCTGTGTCAATATGTGTATATACACACATGCACGTATATACATATATGCTTTGTATTTATATTCTTTTTATATTTACTTTTATATAACATTTGACTCTGATTATTGAAAAGAAATTACTATTGAATTTTGGCTCCTTAGCTGTGCCCTGTTTAGAACTGCACAGGTAAAGGAATTATTTTCTTCTATTCAAGATTTGGAGGAAAGTGGTATCTTTAGTTCCTTAAAACCTTTGCATCTGCCATTTAGCATCTTGAATATTTCTTATTTGAAACCTCCAACATGTTTTATCCACATTAGACACAGCTGTTTCATTATGCTATGTAACAATAAATGGGTAAGGCAGAACTGTATGTTGTTTTAGCATTTTTTGCCTTTCTGTCTCACCAAAATTTTGACTCTAGATTCTGAAGCTTATTCTGAGAATAGAGGAGAAAAAATTACTAGTCAAATGACATCTTCCAGTCCTTAAGTTTGGAGGCTGTGGTAATGGAAGCTGAATATCTAGCTATAACATTAGCATATGGTAGTCACAATTGTCAGATTGGTTTAAGGAAATCAGTTTTGTATGAAATCTTCTGTGAATCACATCCAGGTGAGATCTTCTTCCCAGGTAACTTGTACTAAGTATCAAGATCTCTGAATACTTGAAGTATGACTAGAAGTGAATTAATAAAAGATGCATTATTTCCCCCTGATATTTATTGCATTTATAGCATTTATGTGGAGTTCTTGGGTGATACAAATATTTAACTTACTGAAAGGTTGGAGGTCTGAGTCCATGCAGAGGTACCTTAGAATAAAGACCTGGCAACCTACTTCTGAAAAATAACCCACTGAGAACCCTATGGATCACTGATCTACTCTGACATATGTAGGGTCACCATGATTCTGTGGCAACTGATTGGTTGGTGGTTGGTTATGGTATTTATTTACAGCATCTCCTTTATTCCAAGCCATGTGTATTTACTGTTGCACATATTAAATGTATAACACTCTTGCTTAGACATATGTGTTACTATTTCATGGTAAAGATAACATTAGTAATATTTATATATACTAGATATATTTTATCTGTATTCCAGAATAGAAAGCACATTTTGTTGTTTTTTAAATTTATTTAACAAAAAATCCAATTTATATTCAATGGCCTTACGGCATATGTATTTACTGTAGAAAATGCTAGACTACCTCAAGGAGAAGAAAGATGTGGGCTTCTTTCAGAGCCTTGCTGGTCTGATGCAGTCATGTAGGTAAGGAAATGCTGTCCTGACTTTGATCCTATTCAATGGATTCTATTTTATAAAGTACTTGTTTTGCATAATTGACAATAATTACACATAGAACAATTTTTAATAACTAACAGACTCTGGTGGCATAATACCTAAGGTATATGACTGCTAACTGGAAGGCTGGTAGTTCAAACCCACCAGCCACTCCACAGAAGGAACACTGGGCAAACTACTTCCATTGAAATACCTGCTAGGAAACCTAAGGAGGAGTCACTATGAGTTGGAATCAACTCGACAGCAGTGAGCTTTTTTTTTTTCCCCTTTCTTTTTAACAGACACTAAAGCAGGGTGATAGATGTGCTTTGTTTTCTCTCTTGTTAGTAATGTCTTAGTTCATAACTTAATTACTCAGTATCCCAAAAGATTTTACCTTGTGCTTAAATAGTTACTTAGGGATATTGCAGAATGAACATGTATTCCATGTACTTGAAAATGTGTAATGAATGATTCGAAAAGAGAAGAAGCTCTCTTTTTTTCAGTTTTATTTGGGGTCCATAGGCTATTTCTCCTTCTTCTCAGTAAATGATCCTTAGCCAACTAATTTGTGATCATCATTTTCTATTTTTCACAGTTCTTAAAATCATTCAGACAGCATTCAACTTAGGAACCTAAGACATATTCTTATTCCTTTAAGCAGAATAAGCTTTACCAAAAGGAAAAAAAAAATGATAATGTTATAATTATATTTCACTATGTCTTTGAACTTTGTAACATAATCCCAGAGTTGAAACTCATTAATTCTTTATGTCCAACTTTCACAGGGCTCATTTAGGTGTAGATCCTAGGGAAGGGGCAAGAATTTAGTTTGCTACCAAGAAAAGATGACTTACTGCAGACACTGGATTATACCATGTTAGCATTTGGCTCAGATGTCAAAATATGCACTTTGTAGGCATTAATTTGCTTTCATAAGCAAAAAAAAAAAATTGTTTATTAGCTCACTAATAATTTTTCTCCCTATTATTATAGTGTCCTTGATCTAAATGCATTTGAGCGACAAAACAAAGCTGAAGGACTTGGAATGGTCACTGAGGAAGGATCAGGTATTAATAAGTTAAATCAAAAGGGTCACCTCTCCCCCCTTTCTCCTTGAAATGAGTCAGTTATCAATTATTTTCAAACAAAGTGATACAAGGTCATTTTGGAATTGATAAATTGCCTATGTGCTTCATTTAGAAGACATATTTAGATAGTCATGCAGGTTCCACTTGAAAACCAATGTTACATGTCAGTTATTTACTCCTTTTTATCCTTGCCGTACTACTGTAAGTAGCCTTACAGAAAAGTTATCTATAAAATATCAAGTACATAGATGAACTAAATAAGACAGCCTCTGACTTCCTTTGGCCTCTTCAGGAAGTTTTTAGGCACTCAACTTCTTCTCTCTCCTTAGGATTGCATCCTCTCAGATCCTTCAGTCTACCACTCACCACGCCTGTTATCTCCTCCCTTTTAATACATCTATCCTTCTCTCTCCAATACCCATACATCTTTGCAAGCCATCATTATCTAATGAAAGAAATGAGAGAGCAGTTTTTATATTCAGATGATTCCAGTCACTTTATTTATATGTACACAAAAATAATGATTCACACAATCTTAGAGTTTTTCTCTCTACAAATGGATGTAAGTCTAAACTGGAACATTTAGTAAGCAGTATATTTAAGGCAGAGACAAACATTGCTACACCTTCATTTCAATATTTTTTGTTTTTATTTATTTTAACTCTTTTGTATTTTAAACTAATTTAGCTTTAATAAGGCCCTATGTGTTTATCTGTTTTAATTTGTTTGGTCTGGGTTGGACTTGTAAATTGTCAATATATTGCTTTTGAAACATTGGGTCTTATATAAGATTAATCTTGTTGCAAAAATAAAATTTTTCCTATCTGCTATGTGTAGTCATAGCTTGTCTTTCTGATATATTTTAAAATTAACTGATCTCTGTGATTATCTCTTTTTTGTTTTTTTTCTTTTGCTCTTACTAAGAGGAACAAGAATTAACTGCACATTTCTTAATGTATTTTCTTAATGTATTTTACAGTTTATCATTTATATACATTGTAACATTGCTACTACTGTGTGGCTCCTATGTCATTTTATTTTGTTTGGCATTTGATTATAGGTTCAATCATCAAATATAAGCCATATGGTTACTTAATTGAGTTAACTAATTTCAAGAAAAATCACAAACACACTTTAAACTTTCTTAGATTTTCTGAAAATGAATATCTCGTTTATTAAACATCAGTATCAAGAGAAACAGCACTTAACTTGAGGGCCTCATGGGAGAACTCTGAGTAACTAAAAAGCAGGGGTACATTACCTGCCTCACAGATATCCCAGGCATTTTTCACTAGAAAGTGCTAAAAGTGAATGAATTCTCTGTCCAAAGACTGACTTCCCTGCCTTGGCGTTATAGTCAATTTTATTTTGCCTTGCAGTTTTTATCTAGTGTTCCAGAGACCCTGTACAAAATACCACAAATCATTTTTAATCACTTCTAATACCAGCTTCCACAAAGCAATAGTGGCCAAACAGGTTTATTTTACACCATCTCCTAGCCTCAGTTACCATACATAGATTGGGATCATTTATTTTTTGAGTCCCAAGTCAGAAATAATTTAGTGCGAATGAACATTCTGAGATGAGAAGTATTTACATCTCTGCATCTGAGACTTATTTATTCTCTTCCAACCCAAAGAAGAATAGCCCAAACTGATTAACTGGTTTTGTATTTTATTTCCTTACAAATGGTAAAACAAAAACAAACTCTCAAATTCTTTCTCTTTCCCCATCTCCTTTTCTTTCAACTACTGTTAATGTACTGTCCTCACTTCCTCAGTCATCACCCATGAGCGTGGTAATTATTAAAAATAAACTGCCTTTTGTTGATTTGCTCCTTTATTTGTTGTTAGCTTTGTGTCAGCACTGCACAGACTTTACAGGGAAATATTTTGTGCATTTCTTTTTCCTTTTATAGACTGTATTTACAAGTAGATTATTTAATTTCCATCATTGTGCATCCTATAATATATAAAAAAAATTATACCCAGCTCTCATGTCTTTTTTTTTTTCCTTCTTTCTATGAGGATGTGCAGTTATTAACATATTAGATATGAAGGGGCAACAAGCATTTAAATTATTATGATTTTCTTTTTCAATTTGTCTTTTTCTGTTTCTTTCTTTTAAAACATTTCTAGTTGCCCATTGTTTGCAATTGTGTGTAGATGAATGAATTATAGAATGTGTGCTGTAGTCTTCCTGTGGTGTTTCTGTTTAAATGTACTGTGGCTTTATGGCTGCTTGACTGGTGCATTGGAATTCAGTGGCAGATCTAGAATGGGCTGTAATGGCCAAATGTTCTCCTGGCCAATGTGCTCTGCTAGTTCTTTTCCATATATTGGGAGATCTAAAGAGTTTTTCTCTATTTTAAAAGAATATCACAGATTTAAAATTTTTACATAAAAACTAAATTTATACTTGAAACCGAATTCATAGAGCACTAGAAGCAGTGGCAAATATTTACTCTTCAAACTAATATAATAAGACTTATTAGCATTTTAAAGTAGTTTATAAAATACATTATATGTAATGGTAATAAAGAAGGTATTAACTTCCTGATTGTACCTAGTATGTCAACAAGGCTTTAGAGATTAAATTGTATTTTTTAATACATTCTGTTGCTCTAATCAAGATACTCTTAATAGAAGAAAAAGCAAGGGCAAATTATTAGGTCTATTCTTTTTTTGTACTACTGTTATCATCATGTAACTTTGCTCTTTGTCCCTACCTTTCCTTACTAAATTTACTCTTTTCAAAAGTCTGGGCCTCCTACTTATTCTTTTATTTATTTATTTATTTATTTATTTATTTTTTATTATTATTATTATTAATAAAAGGTTTTTTAGCAAAGTATGTTTTGTGGCTTTATGATGTGCTCAATGTTGTTCCTTTTTAGATATTTTTTATATGTGTTTTAACAATATAATGAAGTTCAAAACAAATCCTATATGAAAATTGAAATTTCATTCCATTTTTGAATGTTTAATTTGCTTTATCATTTAACTTCTTCACTAAATCATGACAAGCTTGAAAGTGCAATTTTCCTTTTTATCAAAATTCTTCTTAGAATATTGTAAAATACATTGCTTTTTTTGCCTTTTGGTCATTTTGTGGTGGTCCTAGACTTCATAAGCAATATGAAACTTTGAAGTTAATCTCATTGCTCCAAATGCTTGGTTCTAAAAAATATTATATAAAACTTAGGCTACCAATTAACATTTATAAAATTTCCATCTGTATCTGATAGTGTAGTCCATTGAGGTCATTACTGATTTATAGTGACTTCATCAAATTTATGTGGAATTAAAGAAGAAAGGATTAAATTTTATTACTTCTAAAGTATTGCTTACCCTAACTCATTGATGAAGTTTTTATTGCTTTATTAGTTTTTGACTGTTTCTCACCCAAGATTTTCCGGGTATTTTCATAAACATAGTCCATTGCTAACACTTGTATTCTGACTGTGTCACTGTCATTCCTGTGGGTAAACTTTCTCTTCAAAGAAAGCCTATGATGATGGTTCATAATACCAAACATAATATCTCTGAACATTTTTCAAACTTTGAAGCTTTTATTTAATTTGAATGGCTACTCTGTGCCAGATGCTAACCTGGACATTTGAAGATGCTTTAGTAGCTAAGCATGGTGGAGACAGATTTGCAAACAAATCACTTCTGACCAATGCTCACTATGTTGGAGCCTTACAATAGACTTAACTAAAAGGGAAATATAAGTTTATCTGGTAGACAGGGAAAACCAAGGCATTCTAATCTAAGGGATTAGCATATGCCAAAGTTTAAGGTACAAAACATGTCAGAGAATAGTTATTAATCTAGTATAACTGAAAGAAAATGAATGGACTAGAGGGGAGAAAAAGTTTGTGGAAAGTCGTGAAAGGCCTCTCTGCCCTACCAAGGAATTTGCTCATTTTTTTCTGAGTCCACAGAAAACCATGTAGTTACTAACATTTAAGTGATATTTGTGATGGGTTATATATCCACCCAGAGTTAAATTCCTAGCATCCACTGTTCAAAAAATGCTTCTGATAGAATATAGTAACACTGAAGGGAACAGATGTCTCATATTTCAGTAACGCTTTTGTACAAAACAGGAGCCTTGGTAGTACAGTAGTTAAGCACTCAGCATCTAACAAAAAAGTCATTGATTCAAACTCACCACTCACTCCATGGGAGAAAGATGTGGCAGTCTGTTTCTGTAAAGATTTACAGCTTTGGAAACCCTATACTGCAATTCTACTCTGTCCTATAAGGTCTTGTGAGTCACAATTGACTCAAAAGCAATGGGCTTGGTTTTTTATTTTACCTATACAAAACAGACATTAAGTCCTCCAAATGTAAGTGATTAGCATGATTTCTTTCATGGCAGTGGAGAGCTCTTAACTTGTATTTAATAATAAACTGTAAGGAATTCTTCAGTGCAGCCTTTTATTAATTAGTATTAAAGGAATTAATTTATCAGGAGAGTATTATGATTAAATCGATGCTTATGGAAAATGACTGGTAGACAACTAAGTGAAAGATGGGAGTCACAACCAAGTGAAGGCACGGAGATCCTTAGGAAGAGTGAACTTCAAGAAGGGAAGTGATAGCTAGAAGGGCATAGGCTCTGGCTATAACAGAAACAACCTGCAAATCCCATTTGAAAACGAAGGGATTTTTCCTCCATGATTGACATACACTTTAATTTGGTAACCCTTGGAAAATAATTAAATAGTGGTCAAATGGTGCTTTTTTTTTTTTTTCTTTCTTTCTCTTTGTCTTAGAATTTGAAATAGAATGTATTCTATGCAGTGTGAGGTTTAATTTAATTTGATTTCAGTGTACTTAATTGAATTCATGGGTATTTATTATACCCACTACCTACTAAAAGGAGCTCTGGTAGCACAGTGCCTAAGTTGTCTGACTCCTAACCAGAAGATTGGTAGTTCAAATCCACTGGCCACTCCATGGAACCAAGACTAGGCAATCTACTTCCGTAAAGATTTACAGCCTTGGAAACCCAATGGGTGTCTCTGTGAGTCAGAATTGACTTGACAGCAGAGGGTTTGGTTTGGTGTGGTTTTACCTACTGAAATTCTGTATTTTGGAAATCTAGATCTTCTTTTGACCCTATGGCTTAACAGCATTAAAAGTTTACACATATTCTATTGTGTTTTGCATATTTCAAAGCATTTTTACTTATATGAGCCAGTTTGATTACCTCAAGGCTTTAAGAAGTAAGTAGGCCAAAAGTTTGTTAATCTTCATATTAGAATAATAAAACTAAGTTTCTCAAATCCACATATCTAGAAAATTATTTTTTCTGGGTTCTAAAATTTGTGAAAAGAGCTCTTGTAGTATAGGAGGTAAGGCATTTGGTTGCTAACCAGCAGGTCGATGATTCAAATCCACCAGCTACTTTGCAAGAAGATGATGAGGCAATCTTCTTCTGTAAACATTTGTAGGCTGAGAAACCCAATGGGGGTTTCTGTCAGTTGGAATTGACTCAATGGCAATTGAGTCAGAGTATCAGTGGGTGGTGATAGTAAAACTGATTAAAAGAATATGAGTAATCATAAAAGATCTATTTCTATTCAGAGATTATTAATGATAACTTTGTAAAGATTAGGAACTATGCATTTTGAATTTAGAAAGACCATATAATATTGAAATGATCTGTTTACTGTCTGTCTCTTCCATTAGCTATGAACTTCTTGAGGTTAGGGATTTTGTTCCACTGATCTTTTTATGCCTAGTGCCTCGCATGGTATCTGGCGTAGAAGTGACACTTAATGGATGTTTATGAACTCCACTGGATTCAAATCCTGACATTCTTCAAGTTACGTAATTTCTCAGTTGTTTACTGAACAAACCACAAAATGGGCTTGATAACACCTACCTTTCAGAATTATTGTAAAGCTAAATTGAAACAATGAGATAATATACATCCAGCCAAATATCTCAGACACTGTAGTCACTAACTAAATGTTAACTATAAACCTTAACTATGAAAGCTATAGTTAAAAATATATATATAGTTCTTTGTTAGTTGAACTACAATATAATTTAAACAGCCATATTGAAGCCACTTAAGCAGTGTTATTAAAACTACCCTCAAGGAACAAAATATCTGATTTTTTACTGTTTAACAGTTTTTGTCATTAGTTATCACATCATTAATACTGTATTATTACTTCTTCATTTTTGTCATTATACAAAATAGATATTTAAGTTTTCCGAAGATCAGTGATGAGAATGATTTCTTCCATGGCAGGGATGTGATCTTCAGTTACATTTAATATTAGAGTATAAGGAAAATTCTTTGATGTAGCCCATCTCATGGTGCATGCTACTAACCCTTATATCTTTACATTTCTAGAGATATTAACATGGCAAGACCTTACAACAGTGGAATTTTAGTCTTTTGGAGTTTATTTTTCTCAATTCTATTATTAATGATACATACTAAGTAGTTTTTTAACTTCTTTATTAAATTTTATTTGTGCCAATTAATGCACTTTCCAAGCTTTGTTTGGAGAATAAGCTGAGTACTTCGAGCTATATCGAAGGATATTCTAAGTAATCACTGGACATATGCACACACATACACAAAGTTGGTTTATTGAACGTAAGTCGACACTTAAATACTTTTGCATTATTGGATAAATCAATTGTGAGTAGAACAATGGCCTTTAAAGTGTGTTACCTCTATTAGATCTCTAAGATACTATTTATCATTTCACTTGTAGCCTAAATAAACAAAAAAAAAAAGATCACTTACTATTATTCCCAAGTGAAAGTTATATTTTGAGAACATTTTTGTCCATTATATGGTCTATAAAATTAAGATGGTTTTCAGAAAATACAAATCCACATAATTAATATATTCAATAACTAGATTCATCACCAACACATGTTATTTAGTCTTATTGCCCTGCTACTAATAATATTAACTTATTAACAATTTGTATATATAAATATTTAAAACTACTCAAAAGGAGCTCTGGTCGCATTGTATCTAAGGCATTTGACTGCTAACCAGAGGCTGGTGGTTCAAACCCATCAGCCACTCCTTAGAATGAAGGCTGGGCAATCTACTTCCGTAGTGATACCACCTCAGAAACCCAAGGAGGGGTTGCTATGAGTCAAAAGCAACTCGATAGCAGTGAGTTTTTGTGTGTGTGTGCTTATATATTCAGAGGAGCAGTGAGGTAACAGAATGCATGTTTTAATACTCATTTTGCAGATGAGAAAACTAAGACTCAGTAACTAACTCATCATCAGGAACAGTATTAAAATAATTCTCCATGTATTACAGTATTAGAAACGATAAACTCCCTTATAATTAAAAATGAAATCAAAAGAATGTCCTCCACATTATTTACATCTGGCCACCATGCAGCTAATGCAAGTAATATTTAGGAAAGCTAGAGCACTTTCAACTACATTTTACTCCATTTCACTATGTGTTATTAATCTTAGTTTCCATCTTATAGTGGAATTTTTTTGCATAATCACAAAATAGACTGTGGATCCTGTACCTTCTGCAGACATAAAGCCATTTTCCATCTCTGTTACTGTACCTCAGACACGCAGCATGGGCAATGGCAGCATTTTAATCAGAGAGTGATGTGTTTGTGAAGCACTAGCAGCCCAGTTGGTAGCACTTGATGCTAACTGAAGGCTTGACCTGCCCCTTCCCTTCCCCCTGCGTGTGTTCTGCAATGTGCAGCCTGTCCTCATGTAAGTGCAGTTACTTTTGTGTGTTTCAGTTCACAGGCATGCCAACAATCAAAAAAATCATGTTATAAATCAGTTTTCATTTGAAGAGTATCTAGGTACACAGGTAGATGGTGTGATATTTATTTCAGTGTTAACTTTTCTGAACTCTTTCCAACAATTGTTATTTCACTTTGAATATGTGAACATTATAAATGTTTACATATTGATTCCATTTACACTTTTTTGCTTGTATCACAGAGGAAGAGTTTGTATAACTCAAAATATTTTGATTAAAGATCATTTTAAAGACTCTTCTGATTAAAATAGATTGTGAAATGATACAAAATATCATCAATGGAGAGTTTATTACCCTGAATGTTCTCTCCCTCCTTTCCTGTCCTGCCAGAACTTAAAAACTGAGGAATGGACTTATCAGCCTTGTGCTGAGATACAAAACAATGTACTTTTAACACTGAAACTTGTCCCAACGTATGATTTGCATACTTGGTGATTTTAGTTTGATCACCAAATGTCATCTCTTGCAGGCTAACAGGGAAATGAGTACAGTGATTTTATGTACTTTTCTTAATGTTTATATTAGTCTTCAAAATGATTTTGCTTCCTAACCCTACCATTATATGAAGCCTCTCACTTTGAAAGTCACAGACTGCGGACTGGTAAGTCCATCAGTTCTCTGTCATTATGATTATTCATAATTTTAGTTCAAGCACACACATGGTCATTGCATATTTTCCTTTTTTAGCCTAATTATTTCCAGTCCATGAAAATTTATTATTTTTTAAATACATAATTACATACTCATTCACTTACTAAGCATTTTTCATCATTTTGCTTTCTAAACAATTTAGAATTCTGGAGCATACACCCATAATGTTGAAAAGTTTTCTCACTAACTTCTTATGTGTTGAAATTCAGCTGTCATTTGTGTGATGCTGTTTAATATATGTTTCTTTGCATTTTACTTTCAAAGTTACTCATGATTATGATGAATTTAAGTGGAAACAGAGGGAAAATTCTTAAACCTTTTCTGAGGCTTTAACCTTGCCCAAAAAATATTTAAACTTTTTCATGACTTGAGTACCTTCTATAGCTTTGAGTACCTTTTATAGTCCTTCTTTTCACCTTTCTTTCTTATGTTTAGCTCTCACAGCCTGAACCACCAACATCTTCCTTTTGGTTGAAATTTAAAATTAAATCTGCTTGCCAGTTCCGGATCCTCTAGCAGTAATATTCCCCCCACTCATATCTATATTTTAGATTTCTGAAGTCTTTCTTTACTTATTTTTAGTCAGTAGACAAACTGATGAGAGAGTTAGTTAAAATGAGTCAATAGACATTTTGTAGCAATTAATTTATAGTTTTCACAGATATCTTTTCTTCTGTAGTAAAAGTAACTAATTTTATATATACATTGACTGCCTTTGTATGGAATCATTTGATCAGACACTGGAAACAAAGCAAATTTAATTAACATGAACGTTTGTAAGGGATGCAATGATCTTGACTATACACATCTTACCAAAAAAAAAAAAAATTAAAACCTTCAGGTTGTTTGTAAAATGTTGCCAAACCCATGCTGCTACCTTTAACAGAGAGAAATTTGAGTTTTAATATTTCAATGTTCTTTTCTTACAAAGAAAAAGTACATCTATCTGCAAAGCGCATGATCTAATGAGCTTCAGATAGAAACATGGCTATGATTTGTGACTGTTTTTGGTTCAGAACCATGCTAGATTCACATGCAAGTTTGATGAAGATGGGGATGGGAAGGGAGGGCTGGCGAAAGCGATTGGTAATGGTAGGTCTGTTGGCCTTTCTGCAGGAGAGAAGGTGCTGCAGGACGACGAGTTCACCTGTGACCTCTTCCGCTTCCTCCAGCTTCTTTGTGAGGGACACAATTCAGGTTTGTGAGAGCTCAAAATATATGGCAGCACTAATAAATAAGTATTTTGACACCAGTAGTAACATTAGCCTTGTAGTTACACCTTATTCTTCTCTAGAGGCAACAAATAGTTCTTGAACATTACTCTATATGCATGGACACTATGACCTTTACTTTGCCACCTTCAAAGTCTTTTTATGACACAGGTAATAGGCAAAGAAAGATACAAATTAGGTAGAGGCATACAAAGAAATATGTAACTTTATTGCTTTTGTATTACTTCTCTTTACCTTGAGAATATTGAAAAACAAACACTGGCTGTTGAGTCCATTCTGATTCATGATGATTCCATGTGTTAGAAGCTGTGCTCCATAGAGTTTTCAGTGGCTGATGTTTTGGAAGTAGATAGCCAGGCCTTTCTTCTAACTCACCTCTGAGTGGACTCAAACCCAGTAGCTGAGCACATTAATTGTTTGCACCACCCAGGAACTCCTTGGAAAATTAACGTATATAATGCATACCTCAGAAATATTGTGGGTTCAGTTCTAGACCACTGCAATAAAGTGAATGTAGCAATAAAGAAAATCACATGGCCTTTTTGGTTTCCCAGTGTATATAAAAGCTATGTTTATACTATAATATAGTCTGCAAAGTATACAATAGCATTATGAAAAAAGTTTGAAATATTGTGAGAATTACCAAAATGTCACACAGAGACATGAAGTGAGCACATGCTATTGGAAAAATGATGCCAATAGTGAAATCAAATGTACATGAACTGTTGAATGTAAAACAAATTTTGTTCTGTAAATTTATACCCAGAGCACAATAAAATTTAAAAAAAAAAAAAATGATGCCAATAGAGTTACTTAACACAAGTTGCCACAAACCTTGTAAAAAACACAGTATCTGCAAAGTACGATAAAGTAATGTCGGCCTGTATTCAGTTATTTATTTATATATCTACCTACTTACCAGGTTTGTGGATCTATGAAGGCAAGAATTCTATCTGAATTTTATCTTGGTTTCTCCAGAATTTAGCACAGTACTGAGGAACAAAAGATTATCAAATCAGTCATTTAATTACTGTATCCTAAAGTGTGGATACCCTTTTCAGTCATTCACATGTCCAGAGTTCTAAAGGTAGGAATACAGAAATGGATTTTAGCAATCAATTGAGCCAAACTCAATTATTGATATTTTGTAAATCATCTAGCTATGTTTTCGTATTAATTACTGTCTTTTTTATGGAAAATATAAATTACTTAATATTGAAATTTTCAGTTAAAATATCCCTCTCAGCTGCAATGATTTCACTAGAGATCATCATTTGCTTTTGGAATTTCTCAGATAACTGAATTCTTCTTAAACTTTTGAGTTTAATAACCTTTTTTTTTTAATACTATGTAGATTTTCAAAATTATCTGAGAACTCAGACTGGCAATAATACAACTGTCAATATAATTATCTCTACTGTGGACTATCTACTGAGAGTTCAGGTACATTACCTTAAATATTACTATCAAATGGTTGGATTAGTTGAAATGCTTTAGCAGAGGTGTTCAACTGATAGGTTTTAATGTGCTTTGATTTACAACTAGACTGAATTTTTCAAGATACTTTGTCTTTGATCTTAATTTCTCACCAAATCTTAGGGTGAAACTTCCACTGTTGTCTTGCCCTCTGATCTTGGTCCCCCACTTTGCTTTTTTATGTTTGGACTATGAGTGGGGCTTTTTCCTTATCCATTTCTTGGCTTGATGGTGTTTTGAGGTTTTTTCATTTACAAATTTTGTAAAGCACTTATGTATTCTGCTCCTTCTAGAGTTGATAGATACAATTGGGGAAGAATATTTGAAACATTCTTAGGAATGAGAAAGAAAGACTTTCTAACTACTTTCCAACTATCATATTCTTAAATATTATAGCCTCAGGTTAGTTCTTTTCAGCTGTTCTAATATTTGAATTAATTTTAAAATTTGGTGTGGTACTCAATCATTTTAAAAAAACTCTCTGACATAATAATCCTATTTTAAATTGTTAATAAAACTGAATCCAAAGACAAAGCCCTCTTGAATAATGAGAGCCATGTGCAACTTTTGTTTCTCTTATTTTATTAATAAAAAAGCCAGATACAGTGTTTTACAAACTGCAAATTTAAACTTTCCAATTTTTCCTTAATCTTCAGAAAAAACAAACTTACTGCCATTGAGTCAATTCCTGCTCATAGCAACTGTTCCTTTGGATTTCCAGGGCAAGGTCTCTACAGAAGTAGATCCTCCAGTCTTCACTAGAGAATATAAAACTGAACATTTTTTACTTAAAGCTCACTGCGAAAAAAGATCTATTTTTAAGCAAATAACATCAAAAGGTATTGCTGAAAGCATATTAGTGATTTATAAAATCATATCTCAAAACCCAAATGTAGTACACACTGTGGCCTAAATTGTTTCATTCATTTAGCCAAATAAATTGTAAGCTATTGTTGAAAACATTCTGTTTGGAAAGATTGGCCTTATTTAAATTTTTGTTTACTGTTCTTATCAGTATCTATAAGTAGCCCACACAGTTTCTTCAGGGGCACTTACAAAAGCAGTGAACATCCTGAAGTCCTCAGTGATGAAATATAATTGGCTTTGTTGGAGAATAGGAGGCTTGATGTCTGTAGCCCCAAAAATAACCTTTCATGATTGATGGAATTGTTATGCTAAATAACATAATTAACATATTATTTTGTCCAATAGGTAAATATATATTAGTCTTATGATTCCTTATGTTTGTAAAGTTTAAATCATTAGAGGCAGAAAGCAATTTTTAAAGCTAAGTTTCATATTTCCTTTCTTCCCTCAGTTGCTATTTATATATTTATATCTAGGAAGAAGATTGCCATATTGTGTGTTAAGGAAAATCATGAAGAGTGGTATTTGCTTCATACATATTTCTGTTTGATTTCAATTCTGTTACTTAATATATTTTCCATTATATTGTCCAAAACCATGCAGATCAGTGATAACTTTAGAATATGTCTTATTAATATCATCTCTATTTTCCAGGAATCAATTAGTGATTTCTATTGGTATTACTCTGGGAAAGATGTTATAGATGAACAAGGACAACGGAATTTCTCCAAAGCAATTCAAGTAGCAAAACAAGTCTTTAACACTCTTACAGAGTATATTCAGGTAAACATTGAAATATTTTTGATATTTGAAAAAAAGAAAAGAAAAAAGAGTCAATTTAATTAGCATTTTGTTTCATAGAAAAATACAATATAACTAAGTACTCAATAAAATAAAAACACAACAGAAAATCTGTGTTTACAAGAAACAGATTTTGTTGACCCCTTTCATAGTTTCTTAACCAGTGACTTCGCTACAATATTAGGATGAGATGTGAATGAATATAGAATGTAATGACTTTACTGTTTAGTAGATGAAGATATCATTAACTCCTTGCAGTTATGTACCATGATGCTGGATTTTTGTGTCTCCAGGCCCTAGAATAGATTAAAAAATAAATATTAAGAAAAGTAGAAAGGAGGGAGGCAGAGATTGGGAGACCATTAAACCACTCTTCATAGTGTTGCCACCAATAAGAGTGAGAAAGATGAGAAACTTTATAAAAACAAGAATAGTGTTTAAATCCTTAGTTTTCAGATTATATTAAAGAAAAAATTATAATTATTATGAAGAATATAGTTTTTTTATTATGATGATGATTTTATGGTTTACTCAGTCTAACTTTGCAGTCTTAAACTCAGATTTTAAAAAGAAACATATACTTTCCTCAGTTAGACTAAACATAATCTTGAGTGGCTGGAAGGCTCAATAAAAATTAAACACTGTACCCCTAGAGTCTAGCATAGTGAGAGGTGCTTGTAGAATAATAATTTGAGTGAATGAACATTTCACATCCAGGTGCTGCAGACATATGGATGACCTGTTCACCAACTCCAGTATCCTTCCTTTTCATTTAGCACCTTGGAAAGGATCTGACTTTTTGTTTCATTCTCTCCAGGTTAGACCTGGAAATAAGAAACGCCAATTTCTGTATTTCAGAATGGAAAACCACACTTGATAAATCTAAAATTTTTTTCTTAAAATCAAATAAAAGTGAAATTTTAAATCTGTTCCAGTCCATTCATGTTCCTATTTCTTTAACTTCCCTGGCTTTACCCTTAGTGCTTTACTAGTCTCATCCATTCTAGAAAGATATCAGTACAATAATATTAAATGTGGATTGCCCTAATTAAATAATAAGATTGAAAGACAACATTAGCAAGCTAGTAAATCTTGTAGAAATGGGTAGTAAAATGGTTTCCAAATAGCAAGTAAAATGTAAATGCCTTTTCAGCCAAGATGTGGGTATTTTTTTGTTAATAAAATAAATGAGATTCCTAAATATAAAACTAGAAGTGTCCATTAAGCTCTTACTATATATGGAAAACATTTGTTAGGGATTGCTATAAAATAGATTTCTAAATGAATATCCAAAGAATGTCAGGTAAAGTAATATGGCTTACTGTACTTTGTTCATTCATTCTCCCATTACTCCCTATATATATGACATGTATTATTATATAACTTAATCATTTCTTACATAAGTTTTATATTTTAGTTAAGTAAAATTTTTATTTTGTATATCTATAAACTTTAACAAAGGCTTATGTTTTCCATAAAAATATTTCTTCTAGTACAATATTAAGTAAAAAACAAAAACCCTGAAAATAGGGAATTATAAAATGAAAACCATTAAGTTCCATTCAAATGTAAGCTTCAATGCTATCTGAGAAAGTAATAAAATTATACAGTTTTCTTATTTATTGTTGCTATGACAGAAATAACCATTTGTGGGTGGCTTTAACAAACAGGAATTTATTTTCTCAGGACCCTATAAGTCCAAATTCAAGGCACTGACTCTATGGGAATGCTTTCTCTCTGTTGTCTCTGGGGAAAATTCTTGTCACTGTTCCTTGTTTCTTTGGCAATCTTCACTTAACATGTATCTTCCCCTCTCTTTGTGCTTCCTTCTCTGTGCCTAATCTGTTATTTTTATGTCTCAAAGATGATTAACCTAAAACACACCTCACACTGACATAATCTATTTAACATGATAAACAAAATCCAATTTCCAGATGGGATTACATCCATAAGTATAGAGATTTAGGATATACAACACATATTTGTGGGGAACACATTTCAGTCCATAATAGTAGTATACTTTGACACATATTTCAATTTTAGTCTATTTTCCCCCTGCAAAAAAAGAAAATTAAGGTATAAAATCAGCTTTCTATTTTCATTAAGATAGTTATGCCATCTGTGAAATGAAATAAGTTTTGCTTTATGAAAACAGAGGGAATTCTTTGAGATATGTATTTAATAAGCATTTTACTTTGGAATAAATTTATATTTATAGAAAAGTTGCAAAGATAGTACAGATTGTCTTCATGCATCATTTCCACAGCTTTCTCTAAGGTTAGCATGTTACATAACCACAGTACAATTGTCTAAACTAAGAAATCAGCATTATAATCCTATCAATTAAATTACAGGTGGTAGGAGAGGTTCCAACAGGGAGACAAACTTATCTGTTGGTTTGTCTTACCGTGGTGACATGTTGTGAGTTTTGAGGCTGAGCCACTGGTGTTTCAAACCGAGCGGGATGCACACGGTGCACAGGTATCAGACCAGCTTACAGACTGAGACAGACTAGGAAGAAGGAAGAGGCCGTCCACTTCTCAAAGAATTGGCCAGGGAAAACCTTATGAACAGCAAAGAAACTGTTTGATACATTACCACGCAACTTTATGAATAGTCCGGTTAGGTTAGAAGGCTCTCAAAATAGGGCTGGGAAAGAGCTCCATCAGAGTAAACCCAGCCTTACTCATATGGATAAGGTAAAGCTTTTGAGACCTCCATTTGCTGATGTGGCCCCACTCAAATTGAGGAGAAATAGCTGCAGACATCCATTAATCATCGGAACATGGAATGTACGAAGTATGAATCTAGGAAAATTGGAAGTTGTCAAAAATGAAATTGAACACATAAAGATTGATATCCTCGGCATTAGTGAGCTGAAATGGACTGGTTTTGGCCACTTTGAATCAAACAACTATGTGATCTATTATGCCAGAAATGACAGTTTGAAGAGGAATAGTGTGGCATTCATCATCACAAAGGATGTTTCAAGATCTGTCCTGAAGTACAATGCTGTCATTGTTGTTGTTATGTGCCGTTGAGTTGGACTCGACTCATAATGACCCCTCCTTGGGTTTCCAAGGTGGTCACTACAGAAGTAGATTGCCCAACCTTCCTTCCCAGGAGTGACTGGTGGGTTTGAACAGCCAGCCTTCTGGTTAGCAGTCAAGTGCCTTAGGCACTACGCTACCAGAGCTCCTACAATGCTGTCAGTGATAGAATAACATCCATACGCCTACAAGGAAGACCCGTTAAAACAACTGGTATTCAAGTTCATGCACCAACCACCAAAGCCAAAGATGAGGAAATTGAAGATTTTATCAACTTCTGCAGTCTGAAATTGACCAAACATGCAATTGGGATGTGTTAATTATCACTGGTGACTGGAATGCAAAAGCTGGAAACAAAGAAAAATCATAGGTAGTTGGAAAATTTGGCTGTGGTGACAGAAATAATGCTGGAACTCTCGTGGTAGAATTTTGCAAGACCAATGACTTATTCATTGCAAACACCTTTTTTCAATAACACAAATGGCACCTCTACACGTGGACTTCACCAGATGGAACACACAGGAATCAGATTGACTACATCTGTGGCAAACCTCAATATCTTCAACCAAAACCAGGCCAGGAGCTGATTGTGAACAGACCATCAACTGCTCATATGCAAGTTCAACTTGAAGTTAAAAACAATTAAAACAAGTCCAAGAGAGCCAATATATGCTCTTGAATATATCCCTCCTGAATTTAGAGATCATCTAAAGAATAGATTTGATACATTGAACACCAACGACCAAAAACCAGAAGAATTGTAGGAGAATATCAAGAACATTATCCATGAAGAAAGCAAGAGATCACTAAAAAGAAGAGAAAAGAAGAGAAGACCAAAATGGATGACAGAAGAGACTCTGAAACTTGCCCTTGAGCAGAGAGTAGCTAAAGCAAATGGAAGAAATGACAAGATAAAAGAGCTGAAAAGAAGATTTCAAAGAACAGCTCAAGCAGACAAAACCAATTACTATAATGAAATATGCAAAGATCTGGAGTTTCAAAACCAAAAGGGAAGAACATGCTTGGCATTTCTCAAGTTGAAAGATTTGCAGAAAAAATTTAAGCCTCGAGTTGCAATATTGAGAGATTCTATGGGCAAAATATTGAATGATGCAGGAAGCATCAAGAGAAGATGGCAGGAATACACAGAGTCACTGTACCAAAAAGAACTGGTCGATCTTCATCCATTTCAGGAAGTGGCATATGATCTAGAACCAATGGTATTGAAGGAGGAACTCGAAGCTGCAATGAAAGAATTTGTGAAGAACAAGGCTCTGGGAATTGAAGGAATACTGATTGAGATATTTCAACATATGGATGCCCCATTGGAGGCACTCACTCAGTTATGTCAAGAGATTTGGAAGACAGCTACCTGGCCAACTGACTGGAAGAGATCCATATTTGGACCCATTCCAAAGAAAGGTGATCCCACAGAATGTGGAAATTATAGAACAATATCTTTAATATTGCACACAAGTAAGATCTTACTGAAGATAATTCAAAAACATTTGCAGCAGTATATTGACAGAGAACTTCCAGAGGTGCAAGCTGGATTCAGAAGAGGACGTGGAACAAGGGATATCATAGCTATTGTCAGATGGATCTTGGCTCAAGGCAAAGAATACTGGAAAGATGTTTACTTGTATTTTATGGACTATGCAAAGGCATTTGATTGTGTGGAACATGACAAATTATGGATAACATTGAGAAGAATGGGAATTCCGGAATACTTGATTGTACTCATGAGGAACCTGTACCTCGACCAGGAGGCTGTCATTCGAATGGAACAAGGAACACTACATGGTTTAAAATCAAGAAGAGAGTGCATCAGTGTTGTATCCTTTCCCCACATTAATTCAATCTATATGCTGAGCAAATAATCCGAGAAGGTGGACTATATGAAGAAAAATGTGGCATCAGGATTGGAGGAAGAATCATTAACAACCTGCAATACGCTGACAACACAACTTTGCTTGGTGAAAGTGATGATGACTTGAAGCACTTACTGACAAAGGTTGAAGAATACAGTCTGCAGTATGGATTACGTCTCAATATAAAGAAAACAAAAACCCTCACAACTAGACCAATAAATAGCATCATGATAAATGGAGAAAAGATTGAAGTTGTCAAAGACTTCACATTGCTTGGTTCTACAATCAATGCCAATGGAAGCAGCATTCAGGACATCAGACGATGTACAGCACTAGGCAAGTCAGCTGTAAAGGACCTCTTTCGGGTGCTGAGGAGCAAAGATGTTTCCTTGAGGACTAAGGTGCTCCTGACACAAGCCATGGTATTTTCATTCACCCCGTATGCATGTGAGAGCTGGACAATGAAGAAGGAAGACTGAAGAAGAATTGATGCTTTTGAGTTGTGGTGTTGGCAAAGAATGCTTTAAGTACCACGGACTGCTAAAAGAACTAACAAGTCTATCCTGGACCAAGTGTAGCCAGAATGCTCTTGGAAGCAAGAATGGCCAGATTTCATCTTACATACTTTGGTCATGTTGTCAGAAGGGACCATCCCCTGGAGAAGGATGTCATGCTTGGTAAGGTGGAGGATCGACGAAAGAGGGCAAGGCCCTCAATGAGATGAACTGATCCAGTGGCAGCGGCAATGGGCTCAAGTATAGCAGGGATCACGGATTTGGCACAGGACCAGGCGGTGTTTTGTTCTGCTGTGCATAGGGTCACTATGAGTCGGACAACTCGACAGCACCTAACAACAGCAACAGCCATTGAGTGGACTCTATAGAACAGAAAGGAAAAGATAAAAAACTCACTGTGGTCAAGTTGGATCCAACTCATAGCAACCCCTCCTTTGCATTTCTGAGGCAGTATCACTATGGAAGTAGATTGCCCAACCTTCCTTCCAAGGAGTGGTTGATGGGTTTGAACCGCCAGCCTTCTGGTTAGCAGTCAAATGCCTTAGGCACTACACTATCAGAGCTCCTCTATAGGACAGAGTAGAACTGAAAGGCTGCAATCTTTGCTGAAGGAAACTGGCTCATCTTTCTCCCATGGAGTGGCTGGTGGTTTCAAACCACCAACATTTTGGTTAGTAGGTGAATGCTTTAACCACTGCACCACCAGAGCTCCCTGTGCTGAAATTAATAACCTACAAATTTGGCTATTAAGAATCAAATAACCTTACTTTAATCCTTCTCAGAACTGTCCCCTCAGACTTGCTCTATGGACTTTTTTTTTTTTTATCATTTTTTGATGAATTTTGCACCCTACCCAATCTCTGAAAAAGGACGTACCTTCAGTAACTTTACCACAAGCATAGTCTCATTTCAACAACAGTGAAGTCACAAGAACATAGCTTTTTTCTTCCTAGTTAGTTAACGTTGTTGTTGTTTTTGTCATGTACCGTCCAGTCGGACCCAACTCATAGCGACCCCTCCTTGGGATTCCAAGATGGTATCACTTATCACTTCAGAGCACTGGCTGATGGATTTGAACCATCAGCCTTCTGGTTAGCAGTCAAGTGCCTTACTCCTTCAAAGTTGAAGCTGTAGTAAGAGGAAAAAAAAGGAAAAAGAAAGGACTTCCTTTAGGGCACATTAATCCAGCTGGCCCGCTGGTATACTATATTCTTTCCCTAAGAAGGGGGCTGTTAGGGGTTCCTCAGAGATAATCCCGTTTGGCCTTCTTAATGCCTCTAGTCTCTGGACATGTCTTTTTCATCACTTAATTTATATTGAGTCCCTCCAGGCATTTGGTAGGCCCTCTCCATACATAATAACAACCACTCCATTTTGGAATCACATTATCCTTTCTTACAGTTTTGTTTGGCAAGGTTTAAATGGGGCAGGATAGTTCTCTCCTAAGTAACCCATGTTGTTATTGTGACCTGCCATCAAGTTAGCCCCAGAATCATGGCAATCCTGTATACAACTAAATGAAATACTACCCTGTCTTGCACCACGCCAGATCTGACTGTTGTGATCCGTAGGGTTTTCAGTGACTGTTTTTTGTAAGTAGATCTCCACACCTTTCTTCCTGGTAGTCAGTTCCAGTCTAGAAGTCACATTGTCCCCAAGCAGCCCATTTCTTGCCCATAAGTGGCACACATCTTTCCTTTTGTCATCTATGGAATTGTATTTTGTCCTTCTACTCTCTGTCTCACTTTCTAATACCAGACCTTTATGCTACCCAATTGAGGAGATAGAAGCTAAATTATCTCTATGATTCTCTTGAAGCTTTGGTTTATATGCGTGAGGAAGCAGCCTCTCTCCTTTCCCATTGCAGTAGGGTAAGAGGTGGAGATGTCCAGAACTTGGGAGAGTTCTTTCCAGTCTCTTCCTTTTCCAGCTTCAATCCTTTTATATCCTTACAGTGAAAAGATATATTTTTAGTCACCCTGTTGAAGGTCTCACATCATAAACTTTGGAATAGGAATATACTTGACATTTACTGTTTTTTTTTTGTTTTTTTTTTATTCTTGGCCTTAAAGACCTCAATAGAAGCTGACTCAGAAAAAAAACATTCCATCAATATCTTGTTAGTATCTTCAGTGCAGTCCTCCTATAGGCACTTGTTTCTAGAGTGAAATTTGAAATGTTTGTACTCTCTAGTTTAAACTTCTTGTGCGCATGTGTCAAAAAGAATGAATGGATTAGAATTTAATAACTGTGTATTATATTTTTTTAAGTAAAATCCTTATTATTTATTTTCTTTATTGGAATGGATATATTTGCAATACTGAGTGATTGGTATAATTTACATTGAGAAATAAAAATAGAATTGTCTCCATCAAATTATTTCACATACTGCTGCAACACACACTCTATAGCAGCACAGACATGCTCACTTCAGAAATATAAAGTAAGAGAACAAAGTTAGCTTCCATCTGCTTTGACTACTGGGTTCAGGTAGATAATAACCAATCATCTTTTAAATTCTCAGTGGTTGTACAATTTGTACAACAGTTTTACAATTCAAAAAAGAAGATGTTGAAGGGGATTTTTTTTTTCACTCTATGAATGCTTTCTCAAGTTTACTGTTTAGGAGTGAGAAGTAATCAGATTCTTTTTCCCATGGGCAATGATTACTTGTTTGTTGGACTTAATAACCATAATTGGGTGGTACTCCCTTTTCCTCTAAATAGAAGAAACCAAAGCCAGACAATAATGAAATGATTCATCCTTCTGTGTTGTATCAGTGTTTTATTACTCATGAAATGGGACATGGATATCCTTGAGAAATTGTTTTGTTGATTTATAATATTAAAATATTCCAAAAAAGGGCATACTTATATCCTAAGATTATGATTCCATTATCATGACTATATATCTTTCTTTCCTTGAGGGTTCTTATTTTTTTAGATAACATGTTGGTAATAAGATATGTAAACAATAAGTTAATTTTGTCTCTGTTATTGTAGAGATTTTTTGGCAATTAAATTATCAGGAATGATTGTTGTCTGGCTACTTATACTCCAGGGTCCCTGCACTGGGAATCAACAGAGTTTGGCACACAGCAGGCTATGGGATGCCGTGGTGGGTTTCCTTCACGTCTTTGCACATATGCAAATGAAGCTGTCACAGGTAAATTACCTGCCTCCTGCCCTCGTAAATTCCAAACCAGAGACTTGGAATCACCAGCAAATTTTGTTATGTTTGAACATTATCTTTTTAGATAACTTCTTTATACATCTTTACACTGCATTTACACACAGACACACACATATATATGTATATGTACATACCTGGTGCAAGCTAAGAATAGTTGGGTGCCATTATTCAAATTTGAGAACAAAAGGATATTGAGCAATTGAATATAGTGGAGAAATTAAATAATGAAATCCCCAAATGTTGTATATTTCAAAATCCTTTAAAGACCCACTTCCTTATAATCACTCACTGGAATTTCCCTCCCTACTGCAGATCATTGAAAAAGGACTTATAACCTGTTACCACTGGGCTTGTTAAAGGGAAAAGATTTTCTTATAGAGTTGTAAAGAAACAGCTATTGTCAGTAAATAACATTCACCTATTAACAGGAAATTTAAGTTTGTAAAAATCAAAGAGAAAAAAAATAGCTGTAAGGATAAGCAACTAAAGAATAAACACTTTTTTTTAAACAATATTTTAAAATTAGTTTGAGAGTACATATTGTAAGCAGCCTGCTGTTTTCTTACTACTATTTTTATTTTATTTAAAACTAAGAGATACATGAATAGAAAAATTCTTAATCTGAATCTTGAGTAAATGTGTTCCTTTAATGCATTGAATTTTGATAGTATGTCTTGAGAGGTGTCTGTCAGGACATAGATGTTTGCCAGGTAGTCAGGTAGAAGATGGACTGCTAGAATTAAAGTCAGAAGACTGATAGTTCAGTCCCTATTTATTCATTTAATTTCCCATGAGTGTGGACCATCCCCTAACTTTCCTGAACTACACTCCCTCCATGACATAATTAGTATAATAAAACTTGTCACCTGCCCTACATGTGGAAATATATCTAGATATTGGTGACTTAAGCCAAATGTGGAAATGCTATATTTCTTTTACTAGTCACAAATGATATTTTAGTAAGTAAAGAAAACCAACATAAATGAAACTGTGCACTCACAAGAAAGTTCTCATTCTGATTTATTTTGATCATTCTAGCATCTGATGCTACCTGGCTATTGTGGATGTAGTTTGCAGACTAAAGTTCCAAAAACCAAACCCAATACCACTGAGTAGATTATGACTCATAGCAACTCTTTAGAACACAATAGAACTGCCCTATAGAGTTTTCTAGGCTGTGAAAGAAGCAGACTGCTTCATCTTATTCCCATGGAGCTGCTAGTTGGGTTCATACTGTCAGGCTTTTGGCTAGCAGTGGAATGCTTTCACCACGGCACCACCAGAACTTCTTTTAGACTGAGGTAAGGCGACTTATATTTAGAAAGAAAAAAATTTTTATTCATTCAGCTTTATAGAAATTTAGCTTCATATGTGACAGCATCTAGATGAATAAAATGATAGCTGGTACGTTGTTGTTATGTGCCGTTGAGTCAGACCCAACTCATAGTGACCCCTCCTTGGGTTGCCGAGGCAGTATCACTATGGAAGTAGATTGCCCAACCTTCCTTCCGAGGAATGGCTGGTGGGTTTGAACCGCCAGCATTATGGTTAGCAGTCAAGTGCCTGAGGCACTATGCTACCAGAGCTTCTGATAGCTGGTATAGTTTTTAAAAAGCCTGAAAAGAGAAAGAGGATAAATGAAAAATTGGCAATATGTAAGGTTGTCATGTAGAAGTAAGTATGTTGCATATTTCTGGGTATTGGGCCTAAGCAGTAATGTTTAGTTACAAATTTCTTCTGTAGTAAGAATTTTTTCATGTTGAAAGTAATCAAAAGCAAAAAAAAAAAAAAAAGTGCAAAATATTCAAAAATTGCAATATTGAAGAACTCAATGAAATTAATTGGTAAATAAGATATTGTACAATATTAGTATAGGTTATACTTGTGTACATATTTCGTTCTATGGTACATTTTTGGTTTAGATTTATTAATATAAATTGAGCCCATTTATCATTTATATGCCTTATTTCCCTAGAATAAATTAATGTTTAGATATGATATAGCAGTAGTATGTAATAAGATTAAAAAAGAAAAGAAAAAAGTATGAAAACCCACCAAACCCACTGCCACCAAGTCAATTCTGATTCATCACAACCCTATAGGACAGAGTAGAACTGCCCCATAATTTTGATGCTGTAAATCTTTACAGAAGCAGACTGCCTCATCTTTCTCCAGTGAAACTGTTAGTTAGTAGGTTCCAATCACGGAAATTTCAGTTAGCAGCCAGCGCTTTTACTGGGCCACAGTGCTCCTTCAGAAACTAAAGACTCCAGCACCTGGACAGGGCTGGACCCTCAGATGAACCGGCGCAGCTTATTCAAGTAAAAGAAATTTGTCAATTAAGCAGAAGTCCCCAAGTGTTGCCCTCATAACAGAACCTGACCACTGTTTTTATTCTTTTATATTCTTGTTATGTACATGAGTCATCCTTACAAATACTTTAATGAACATGATTTGACATCAGTAGTAAATACTCTTGAAGGAGCTCTGGTGGTGCAGTGGCTAAGAATTTTGGCTGCTAACCAGAAGGTCAGTGATAAAGAAGATGGGGCAATCTACTTCTGTAAAGATTTACAGCCTTGTAAACCCAATGGGGGTCTCTATGAGTCAGAATCAACTCAATGGCAGTGATGTTGTTTTTTGGTTTTTTTTGTTTGTTTGTTTGAGTTGTTGTTGTAATGTGCCATCAAGTTGGACCGACTCATAGCGACCCCTCCTTGGGTTTCCGAGGCAGTATCACTACGGGAGTAGATTGCCCAACCTTCGTTCCGAGGAGTGGCTGGTGGGTTTGAACCGCCAGCCTGTTGTTGTTGTTGTTATGTGCCGTCGAGTCGGCCCCGACTCATAGCGACCCCTCCTTGGGTTTCCGAGGCAGTATCACTACGGCCTTCCGAGGAGTGGCTGGTGGGTTTGAACCGCCAGCCTAATGGTTAGCAATCAAGTGCCTTAGGCACTATGCTACCAGAGCTCCCTTGGTTTGAGTAGGTACTCTTTAATTCTGAAGTCTGTGTTTAATAAACTATGTACTAAGGCTTGGCCTTCCTTTAGTGATGTAATACTGTTGGTACAATAGCATTCTTTATGTGAGAAAAAGAATGTTATTCTCTCTGCATGGTTTTCTCAGATTGTCTCAAATGCATTATGTTAATATTTTCAGGATTCCAGTCAAATTGAGCTATTAAAAGAATTAATGGATCTTCAGAAGGATATGGTGGTCATGTTGCTCTCCATGTTGGAAGGTAGTTTTGATTTACATTTGCAAATTTATCCTTTTATCTTAAAACCACTGTGTGCTTGCCTGGAGTCAGCATGCTGCAGCAAGTAAGATAACAACACTACCTTGAATTAATTTCTGGCTTTATTACTCTTTTCACAAGTTACTTTTTCATTTAAAAAGAAAAGAAAATCTTGCATATCTATCTGAGTACATCTCTACCAAATAAAAACAGTAATACTTTATAGTAACACTTCTTATTTCATTAAAAAAAAGAAAGAAAACAGAAGCTCTAGTGGCATAGTGCCTAAGGCATTTGACTGCTAACCAGAAAGCTGGCAATTCAAATGCACTGGAAGGTAGATTGGGCAATCTACTTGCATAGATATACAGCCTAGCGATATGCTTAAAAGTAAACTTTCAGACAGATGGTATATAAAGGTTTTATGTATGTATATATGTGCATATATATTTTCAATTGGTGTGGATTGCAGACATTTGGATAAATTCCAACTGTAAATTGCTGTTTTGAAATCACACATTGCAACTCTCATGGGTTCTTGAAGTCCTGGAGGAGGAGCACTGTTGAGACAACTTAGACTAACCGGGCAACTGCCAGTAGAAGACTTCCCCTTCGGATGACATGCCTCCGTCAGTCTTTATTCTTTCTCTTTCCATCTTGTTTTTCTTTGCTTTTGTGTTATTCTCTTCATCATGTAATAAGTTTAGCGGTTAAGTATTTGGGCTCTGAGATCAGCCTCCAGGATTCAAATCCTGTCTTTCCTACTCCCTTGCAGTGTGACTTTTGGACAACTTATGTCTCCATTTTTCATTTTCCTCCTCTGTAAAATGGAAACATTGATAGAAGCTATATAAAAGGATTGATGTGAGAATGCAGTGAAACTATCTAAATATGACCCAAACAACTAATTTTTTTTTTGCTATTTTGTTACTTATCTTTATTTTAAAAACATTCTATCTGTTTTCTCTCTCCCTCTCTCTCTCTACCTATTTTTTAGATTGTCACGGCATCGTTTAATTCCACTTGATCATCTGAAGCAGTTGCTATGCCATATATAGGACTTCAAACATGCAACACTTGCTTAAAATCTCTACTTGGCAGCAGCATTAGCTGCTTTATACTCTCTACACCCCAAATCTGTTTGCTACAACATGAATTCAACTTTTGATTGAAGTAATAATAATAGTAATAGGAGCATACCAACAATGACAATTTGAATTAACTCTTATAATGTGCCACATACTATTTTAAATGTTCATTTAATTTTAATAAGTCTATGAATTTGATAGTATCATTATCACCATTTTGCAGAGGAGGAAACTAAAGTACAGAGAGTTTAAGGAGTTCCCCAGGGTTGTTTAGCTAGTACATTATGGAGCCTGGATTGAAATCTACCCATGTGACTTCAGAGACCACACTTTTACCCACTGTGTTTATGGACTCACAGATAGATTCTACAGACCTTTCCCTCATTGCACCTTTCTTGTTTTTCTTTATTTTGCACAGCACATTCTGTTCAAGAAATAAAAACATGATTCTATAATTCAGGATGTATGTAATTTCTTCAAGTTTATTAGTAACCTGTCATTTTTTAAATGTAAACAGTCTGGAACATGAAGAAATGCTGTTCATTGTAAATTAGAAAGAACATTTCATTTGCTATCAATTAGAAGATCTGGTTTGAAGTCCTGGCACTAACCCTTAATAATCATGTCACAATTAAAAAAAAAAAACTTCACTGTCATCGAATCCGTTCCGACTCATAGCGACCCCCCTCTGGGTTTCTGAGGTGGTAAATCTTTACAGAAGTAGATTGCCCCAGTCTTCCTTTCATGGAGTGGCTGGTGGATTTGAACCGCCAACCTTCTGGTTAGCAGTCAAATGCCTTAGGCACTACACACATTTATTTAGCCTTCCCAAGCTTCAGTTTCCTCATTTTTAAAATCAGAATTTATAAAAGTCCCCTTATAAACCCATGAGTACTAAATCAATGATTATCTATGAGTAGTGATTATTTAACTATGAAGGACTGTGCCTTTGTTTTTATTATGATGTGAGGTTGAATTTCAATTTCCTGGCTCTTTGCCCATTTTCTTTATCCTAAAACATACTGTTTCATTGATAGATTTGAGGAAATATTAGCTTTTGTTCAGATATCATTTCTTGTCTTAATCTAATCACTTTGTAAAAGCTTTACATGTGTTATTATAATCACTTTAAAAATAATTATAATTCTGTATTGTATTTTTGGTGAAGGTGTACTCAGCAGTTTAAATTTCCACTCAATGATTTCTACACAAATTTTTCAGTGCCATTAGTTACATTCTTCACAGTGCATGAACATTCTTATTATTTCTGTTCTGGTTTTGTTTCCATTAATCTGGTTTCCCTGACCCCTTACATTCTCATTTTTATTTTAAAATAATTGTTGACTTTTGGGTCTCATATAGGTGATTTTTTTTTAAGGATAGCAGTAATTATGGTTATATTATTTTTTGAGTCAATTTGTTATTTAAGTACAAGGTAGCTTAGGTGTTAGTTTAGGTTCAAAGTTTGAAGAGTATCTTAGGGCAACAGTCTTGGGGAATCATCCAGTCTCAACCAGTTCAGTAGGTCTTTTGTCATTTATTTATTTTAGGAATTTGAGGTTGGTTCTCTTCCACATTTTTCTCCCATTCTGTCAGGTTCCATCTCACGTGGCCCTGATTAGAACGAAAGAGTGTTAACCAAATACTCTCTAGTTCTGGTCTCAGGGTACATGAGGTGGTGGTTCATGTAGACTATTTATCCTGTAAACTAGTTTGTGTAATCACTTTTTTAAACTATAGTTTACAAATAATTGTTCCTCCTTTCCTGATACTTTATACATTGAAAGATAAACAAAGGGATATCCTTCATGCAGATGTCATAACTATATTGCTGTTTTCTCTGTAAGCACTGGTTTTCTTAAGAATGTTCATTTTAAACAAATGCAATTGTTTTACCACCAGGTAATGTTGTCAATGGAACGATTGGCAAACAGATGGTTGATATGCTTGTGGAATCATCCAACAATGTAGAGATGATTCTCAAATTTTTTGACATGTTCTTAAAGTTAAAGGATTTGACATCTTCTGATACATTTAAAGAATATGACCCCGATGGCAAAGGAGTCATTTCCAAGAGGGACTTCCATAAAGCAATGGAAAGCCATAAGCACTACACACAATCGGAAACGGAGTTCCTTTTATCCTGCGCAGAGACAGATGAAAATGAAACCCTGGACTACGAAGAGTTTGTAAAACGGTTCCATGAACCTGCAAAGGACATCAGCTTCAATGTTGCCGTGCTCCTGACAAATCTTTCAGAACACATGCCCAATGATACACGACTGCAGACTTTCCTTGAATTAGCAGAGAGTGTGTTGAATTATTTCCAGCCTTTTCTAGGCCGCATTGAGATAATGGGAAGTGCTAAGCGCATTGAGAGGGTTTATTTTGAAATCAGTGAGTCTAGCCGGACCCAATGGGAGAAGCCCCAGGTCAAAGAATCCAAAAGGCAGTTCATATTTGACGTGGTCAACGAAGGAGGAGAAAAAGAGAAGATGGAACTTTTTGTGAACTTCTGTGAGGACACCATATTTGAAATGCAGCTGGCAGCTCAGATCTCGGAGTCAGACTTGAATGAAAGGTCTACGAATAAAGAAGAAAGTGAGAAGGAAAAGCCCGAAGAGCAGGAACCAAGAATGGGTTTCTTTTCTATGCTGACAGTTAAGTCCGCCCTGTTTGCCCTAAGGCATAATATCGTGACCCTTGTGAGAATGCTCAGCCTGAAGAGCCTGAGGAAGCAGATGAAAAAAGTGAAGAAGATGACCATGAAGGACATGGTCACCGCCTTGTTCTCATCCTATTGGGGTATTTTTTTGAGCCTCTTGCACTTCGTAGCCAGTGTTTTCAGAGGCTTATTCCGCATCATTTGTAGCCTGCTGTTGGGAGGAAGCCTAGTAGAAGGTGCTAAAAAGATCAAAGTTGCAGAACTCTTAGCCAATATGCCAGATCCCACTCAGGATGAAGTGAGAGGAGATGGAGAGGAAGGGGAAAGGAAACCCATGGAAGTTGCCCTGCCCTCTGAAGACCTGACAGACTTAAAAGAACTGACAGAGGAAAGTGACCTTCTTTCAGATATATTTGGTTTGGATCTGAAGAGAGAAGGAGGACAGTACAAACTTATTCCTCATAATCCAAATGCTGGCCTTAGCGATCTCATGAGCAACCCAGTCCCCATTCCTGAGGTGGAAGAAAAATTTCAGGTAATTTTTCCCTTGTTCACAACAGCTCTCTCGATTCCAGGTAGGTGCAATAGATGAACTTCAGATTCCATGCCACTGACGAGTGGTGTTAAATATATGACTTAAATTTCCAAAGGGAAATGGTTTTTGGGGGACAAAGATAGCCTTTTAAAGATTCTTCAGTAATTATTAAATTATCTTAAACTGGGTGTAAGAAGTGTCTGCCCTGATAAGACTGGTCAATTAAAACATCATTCCATCCATAATATTTCATGAGCACTTACCATGGGTCTGGCACCATGCAGTATCATTGGGAATTAAAAGAAATTCTTTGCCTTAAACAGTTCATTAGAAAAAACTACCATATGAAGAAGTAGAAAATCATTAAGTGTTAAATAGAATAATAATCAGCAGTAAGTTGCAAATGTTGAGAAAATATAAATGTCATATGGTGTAAATTAGTTAAATGAGACTTAAGATGTGGGACTTTAAGTTGCCTTGATGACTGAATAAGATTTGAATACATGGATGAGGTTTTAAAAAATTTTTTAAAAAAATAAAGCTATTTCTGAATTAAGGAAAGAAAGTGGAAGGGATTCAGAAAGTTTGTATGCACTGCCATGTGTACAAGTGTGGAGAAGGGGAAGATATTTACACCAGTAGACTTGCATGGAAATTTTATTTACATATAGGCATGAGCGTGTCATTTGTAGGTTATAGTTTGGAACATGATCACTTGCTGCTAAACTCATTCAGAGATGATGAATAATCCTGCTTTACCCATTGACTCATTCAAGGAGCAGAAGGTAAAAGAAGAAGAAAAGGAAGAAAAAGAAGAAACTAAATCTGAACCTGAGAAATCCGAGTATGTATGGTTTCTGTATGTTTTGCTTTGTTTCGGAAGTCTCTTTTTCTTGTACTCTGTCTTTGAGCCTGTAGTGATAAAACTCATGCTTTTTATACTGTGGAAACCCTCAGCACTGCATGGGATCCTCATGACAAAATTTTGTATCTCCATAGAGAGGCTCTGACTGTGAAGACTGCAATACAGTGCCCTCACTCCCTTTCGGGAATAAGTGTCTACAACCCAGCTGCTACTCCCTTCTCTTTCACTCAGTTCATAAGGGTTTCATTTTTGTGTTTGTCACTCAGCAGAAAAGACTTATGTGCTCCACAAGATGACAGATTGCCACAGTTCTAGCTTTAAACCATCCTTGTATTTCTATCCTTTAAATGATGGGGGATGAAACATCCCACATACAGTTATATAGAATGCTTGTACATGCATAAAATGGCCTGGGAAGTTTGTTAATAGCACGAACTGAAGGACCTCATCCCAGGAGTTATGATTCAGCAGGTTGAATGTGGGACCCAGGAATTTGCATTTTCAGAAACACTTCTTATTTGGGGAAACACAATTATAATAACAGCAAGAAGTAAAGCTCTGCATCTGAGGCAATGAAAATGTCTACTTTTAATTCCATCATCAAAAGATGGATGCTTACATTTTTTTTAAGTTGATATAGTTTTATATGCCCAATTTTAAAAACTAGGGAAAAGAAAATTTTCAGTGCCACCAGCCACTCCTCAGAAGGAAGACTGGCCAGTCTACTTCCGTAGTAATACCGCCTCAGAAACTCAAGGAGGGGTTGCCATGAGTCAGGACCAACTCAACGTCAGTGAATTTGGTTTCAGTTTAAAACTGCCATTAAGCAGCTCTGGTTGCTCAGTGGTTCAGGCATTCAGCTGCTAACCAAAAAGTCTATGGTTTGAACCAACCAGCTGCTCCTTGGCAGAGAGAGGAGGCAGTCTGCTTCCATAAAGATTTAAAGCCTTGGAAACTCTGTGGGGCAGTTCTACTTTGTCCTAATATAGGGTCCCTGTGAATTGGAATCAACTTGATGGCCGTGCTATAATGCCACTGTTCTCACATTGCATTTTATATTTTTTTCATCTATTCGGTAATTTTCCTTGGCCTGTTTTCATTGTCTGTTCTCTGTAGTCAGCAATATTCATTGTCATGATCTTATACTATTGGATCAGTTGTAAAAATAACTACATAAATGACTATTATAGTAAATGTCGGTATAAGTAATAGGACAGAACAGGCATTTCAATGGCATTTCTTTTTCCAGTGTTAGAAAGAATGTTAGTTATACCACATATGGTTAAAGTTGGTATTTAAAACGTGATTACATAACTACATATATCCATAAATGTACTTCCATAAAGGTTTGGTATTTTGCATGTAGAGGGGTTTTAGTTAAATTTCAGTGCTTTAATTCCTTTATTGTCCACAAAATTATTGACATTCTTTATACATGTGACCATTTAAGTACATATGCCTCTGATTTTAAACCTTACTGGCTATTCTATGTTAAAGATTAAACATTAAAATTATAATTTAAAAATAAAGTATGTTGGAAAGTCACAGCAAAATACATTCTTCATTAAGTTACTCTTTTTTTCAACTAAATATTTTTTATTACACAATTGGAAGGGAATCAGCCATTTATAGATATAAAAACTCTTGAAGCCTGCAAAATGCCCTCTGAATTTGAATTTCACAAAATTAAGAAGTTCTACAGAGAGCTATGTGTGTGATTTTTTTTCAATATGTGTTGTGAAATTCCTCCCTGAATTCTAACATTCTGAATATTGTAATTCATTGGAATGAAGTTAGTTTTCAAAAAATTCTATGATCTGAAATATTTGTTCATTTGAATATTTTTGCACAAAACCTATTTAGTTCTTTAGTTTCTTGATGCTTTATATTGCATTCATTTTCACAGGGGAGAAGATGGAGAAAAAGGAGAAAAAGCCAAAGAAGACAAGGGTAAACAAAAGTTGAGGCAGCTTCACACACATAGATATGGAGAGCAAGAAGTTCCAGAGTCAGCATTCTGGAAGAAAATCATAGCATATCAACAGAAACTTCTAGTAAGATGTCTTAGAATGGATATTGTTATTGATATATAGTAAGATCATATTAAAAAAAAATGTAAGAATGAAGAGAGTTCTTTATGTAGTGTCCTATAAATTTTGCAGATGTATTTACCAAATTAGTGAAATGCATATTCATATATGGAAAATAAATTGTTCTCTATTCTATTTATATCCCACAATCCTTCAAAATCTTATTAAGATTGTTTTCTTAAAAATTCATGTAAATATGTGTGTGTGTATATATGTATGTGTATATATTTATACACACACACATATATATTTATACACACACACACACATATATATATACACACAAAGCAACCAGACTCACTGCCGTTGAGTCGATTTGACTCACAGTGACCCCTCCTCGGGTTTCCGAGGCAGTATCTCTGCAGAAGTAGATTGCCCAGTCTTCCTTCCGAGGAGTGGCTGGTGGATTTGAGCTGCCAGCCTTCTGGTTAGCAGTCAAATGCCTTAGGCACTATGCCACCAGAGCTCCCATATTTGTGTGTTGGGCAATGTACTTTTAAATATAAGATTTACAGTCTTGGAAACCCAATGGGAGTCGCTAACAGTCTGAATAAACTTGATGGCAGTGGGTTTTGGAGAATATATATATATATTGCTTGTTGTGTTGTTATGTGCTGTTGAGTCAGACCCAACTCTTAGCAACGCCTCCTTGGGTTTCCGGGGCAGTAAAACTACAGAAGTAGATTGCCCAACCTTCCTTCTGAGGAGTGGCTGGTGGGTTTGAACTGCCAGCCTTCTGGTTAGCAGTCAAGTGCCTTAGGCACTATGCCACCAGAGCTCATATATATATATATATATATATATCCAAGCCACCACCATCATCACCATCCATCATCTCTTCCTGCATTCCTTCCTGTAACAATTTATATATATATATACCTTTTAAATGTAGTCCAGCAACACATAAAAAAAAAAAAAAAAAAACTGTTGCCATTGAGTCTATTTGGAGCCATAGTGACCCTGAATGGCAGAGTGGACAGAGTAGAACTCCCCCATACTGATTCTCCTAAAAGAGCAGCTGGTAAGTTCAAACTGCCAACCTTTTGTTTAGTAGCCAAGCACTTAACCATCATGCCATCATGCTTCTTACAATATATACATACATACACATATGTTTTTAAATAAAGAGGGTAAAAGATAAATGTATAGAATTAACCTGTAAGAGTTACTGACCAATAATTTACACTTAGAAATTAAGAACACCCCTAAAAAAAAAAAAAAAAACGTTGAAAGGCAAAGTCATATTTAGTGTTTTATAGCACTTGAGGAATCAAAAATAGATAATTAAGAAAATAAACATTGCAAAACTTCATCTGTAAGGGAATTGGATTGTTCTCACTAATTATATATAAATATACACAACTTTTATGTGATATATGCAAAAATATTTTAATAGTTTTAAAAGTTTTCTCAGACTATCTCATATTTCCCTATATTGTTTAATATAAAGTACAGGGAACAAAATGCTTTCTAGATAATTCTTAATAGTTATTAATTTCATATGTAGTGATTGTTGCCATGGCTACAGGCATAGCTATATTATAGATGGTAGGACCTGAGGTTGGATAACCAGCAATAGTGAATATGGTGGATATCTGAAGAATATGTTTAATTAGAAGCTGTTAAACCAAATAATTGAGATTTTGCTTCCATCTCTCTGTATTAGGGTTCACCTCCTCCATGTTCCTGTTTCTCATTGCAATCTGACTTTCTCTGCTAATCAATTTGCGTGCATAAGACTAACCATGGCCACATCAGGGCACCACAGATCCAGTGCTCCCCAACTGTTTGTGACGTACCAACTCAGACCACCAGGGCTAATAACTCAGTCTCTATGACTCAGTTCCACCTTTCCAAGAGAACCAATGTAGCTGACCCTGTATAAGGTTAGGGACTAACTTTGGTCCAATGAACTGTGGCAGTAAAGGCAGGGTGTATAGGGAGAGATCACATCATGCAGGAGAAATGAGATGTGCTATCATCTTGATATGGCCTCATGATGACAGCGCACTTAGACTCCTCACACTTAAATATTTAATAAATAAATAAATCCTTAACTTCCCTCCCTAGCTTATTTGCTTAAAACAACTTCTCCTTCAGATTTTTGGGTGTTGTTTTTGTTTGTTTTGATTTTGTTTTTCCAGCTCAATAATTGGCACTAACTTAGTTGCTCAAGCCAAAAATCCAAGATAGCACATTTGAGCCTTCTTTTTCTTTCCTACCTCAATAAAACCCAACAGTAACTCTTTCCAGCTCTTCCTTGAAAATTTATCTAGAATCAGCCCACTGCTTACCCACTCCACAACTACAACGTCAGTTCAAGCCACCACCATCATCACCATCCATCATCTCTTCCTGCATTCCTTCCTGTAACAATTTATATCTGGTCCCCTCGCTTCGACTTTTGCCCCCTACTACATAATTTCTACCAAGTACTAGAGTCATCTTTCCAAATCACAAATCTGATTGGATCATTCCTTCTTCAAAATCATATGTAGAATAAAATAATTATAATATTTACAATAATAAGGTTAATTAACTGGCATCTTCTATGTGCTGACCACTGTTCTGGGGACTTTTTCTATATTAACTTATTTAATCCTCTCAGAAACCTTATGAGATTGATTCTATTGTTATCCTCACTTTAAACCAAACCAAAACCAAACTCACTGCCATCGAGTAGGATCAGACTCAAAGCGACCCCCTCCTTGGGTTTCCAAGGCAATATCACTATGGAAGTAGATTGCCCAATCTTCCTTCTGTGGAGCGTCTGGTGGGTTTGAACTGTCAGCCTTCTGGTTAGCAGTCAAATGCTTCAGGCACTATGCCACCAGAGCTTCTTACAGATGAGAAAAGTGATGGAAGAAAAGGTATTAAGTGACTTCTACAGGGTCACATGGCTTGTAAATCGTGAAGGACAGGATTTCTATCTCAGCAGGGTGGCCCCAGAGTTTACACTCTTAATCACCAAACTATAATCAATAAAAATTCTATCAGAGGCTTACAAAGCCCTCACCCCCACTCACTTCTAAGACTTCATTCTCTACCATTGTCCTCTTTTCATATTGCATCCTTCTTACTATTCCTCAAGCACACCAACATTGTTCTGAACTCAGGATATCCACTCTTCATGCCTCTAGCTCTGGAACACTCTTCCCCAATATGTTTGCTTGGCTTACTTCCCAACTGTGTTCAGGTCTCTGCTCAAAAGTCACCTCCAGGGATAAGCCTTTACTGACCACCTACCTTCATGCCTTTAACCTGCATCTTAAAACAGCACCCTCATTCCCCGTGCCCATAACTTGATGTATTTTTCTCCATAGCATTTAGCATTCCCTGAAATTATATTTATATTTGTCTGTGTGCTTCTTTTATTATTTTTCTTCTTAATGTGGCAGAAATTTTCTTATTCTCTGCCCTCTCTGTAGCACCAAGAATGGTTCATGATACATTACTGGGCTCTCAACTATTTTTGAGTGAATAAATGAATATGTAATTGTCTGTAAATTTCAAGTCTTGATTCAGTGACCTTTTAATAATTTTTTTCACCTTCAGAACTATTTTGCTCGCAACTTTTACAACATGAGAATGTTAGCCTTATTTGTCGCATTTGCAATCAATTTCATCTTGCTCTTTTATAAGGTATGTACATCTTACTGTTTTTAATGACAAATATAATAAAGCAAATAGACTGAATTGAATTTAGAGATTTCACAGACATACTAGTGAACACATCTAAAACTATTCAAAAACAATTTTGCTGAAAGACAGAATCTGGAGCTCAGTCACATCACTGATTATTGACTAAGATGGGATAGATTTGTTCACCTGAAGAAATGTATGAAATATGAGAAATGGCTCAAATCAGGATTGTTTGATTTGGCAAAGGGTTTACCCACATTATTCCTGACTAATGTCACCAAGTATTTTACTTGTTTATATATCTGAGGGTGGCATACCTCTATCCCCTTAAATTCTTTGGGTAATTGAGAAGCCAGCTCAGCCATCTATTTTTTCCCTGCCTGTCTTTGAAGCCTTATAACTCTTGATTGGATTAGAATGAATTCAGAAGATTTCAAGTGTGTTCATTATTTGCCTCTAGGTTTGGAAAAGCTGTTTTTAGCCTTTGCTGTCAGTCCTCTCATTACTCAGTGACTTCATATCCAACTTCATATACTATTTGCTGAAAGAGCATTATTTCCATTGTTTTTGTTTGTTTGGTGTGTGTTTTTGTTACAACATCTTAAATCCAGTGAACTCACTATAATACAAATGGTTGATTTAGGTCTCCACATCTTCTGTGGTGGAAGGAAAGGAGCTGCTCCCTCGAAATTCAGGTGAAAATGCCAAAGTGAACAGCCTGGAAAGTGGCTCCCAGAGAATCATTGCTGTTCACTATGTCCTGGAGGAGAGCAGTGGCTACATGGAGCCCACACTGCGCATTTTAGCTATTCTCCACACGGTCATTTCTTTCTTCTGCATCATTGGATACTACTGCTTGAAAGTAAGATAGTAAGGCAGCAAGGAACCTGTGTGCATAGATGCATGTGTGCACGTCTATTGCAAGTTGAACTCCCTAGGGAGCAGATCTGAGATGGGAATTAGAATGTGCAAAGTCCAATAGGAAATGTTTTCTGAATCAACACCAGTGGGGCAAGGGAAAGACCCAGGATAGGGCAAAGAAAAAAGTTGGACTATGGTGTAAACACAGCAGGGTATAGGCACAGGCCCAGCTGCAATGCCAGATCCACTTTAAGAGTCCTCCTGGGTTGGGTCAAAGGAGCTTGGCATTTATATCCCCACATTGACCAGTCATTGGCTGCAGGCTGTCCTGGAAAGGGAATATGGACTTGGACTGTTTCTGTTTTAGCATTCTTTCACATATTGATAATTATTCACACAATAGACAATTTCACTTATAACTTAACCCAACACCTCACCCATCCATAATGTCTCATAGTAGTGGTCCAGTGTGCTAGTACTTATAGAAATACATCATATTGAATCTATAATTGTTCTGTTATTGACTACATATCTGCTACCATCTTTGGCAGAAATGCTTTACAGTTTGTCCACACAGAAAATAATGCAAGTCTGTGACCAATTCTACCTAGAGCCTTGCTAAGGTAACAGTATAATTTGGAGAATAGAAAACAAGATAGTCTCCCTGGAAGCTGGGGGCTGTCCATTATCTTTTCAAGCAAGATGCCTTTTCATTGTTTACTCTTTTATCTTACTGTCCTCTGACTCTGCTTATAAAGCTTCCAAAAGTCTTTGTAAAAACCAAGGCCCAAGGTAAAAGACTGGAATTAACAATTACTTCAAAAACTCCTCTCCTTTCTTTCTTCCCTTGTTTCATGGTGGAAATTTTCTTGGATACATCCAGAATATCTGCATCTTTATAGTATCTGTGTCTTTTATAAAGTCTGTTCATATGAAAAGAGAATCAATATGTTCTGGAGATATTTGGCAAACCAACAAAGATTTTTGCTGATGCCATAATTAAAATTTATCTCAAAATAGCAATGTGTGAATGCTAAGCATAAAATTATTAAAGAGTTCTCTCAAACAAAAACATACATTTTTTAGTAGTATGGAATTCAGAACATTAGTAAGATTGCTATATTTTATGACATTTATTCATGTTGAATATATAATATATATATATATATATTTATATATATATTTATATATGCAAAACAAAAACATGGTTTTGCTTAAGTATGTTTTCTTTGTTATTTAAAAGTGATACCATTAGTGCAATTACCTTTGAATTTCTATGGTTAAAAGCATGTGCATATATATAATATCTATTCTATATTCTGTTTCTTTTCAATGTTTTCTACATGCTTCTTGCTGCCTGGATAGACTTAATTCATTTTCATTCAATTTTTACCTACTTTGAAGTACATGGGAAATACTTCTTTCCAGAAGCTGTTTTATAAAGATAGTAACCACAGGAGACACCAATGAATCTAAACTAATTTTAATGTGTTTATTTTTCAAATGTAGGTCCCGTTGGTTATTTTTAAGCGAGAAAAGGAAGTAGCACGAAAATTGGAATTTGATGGGCTTTATATTACAGAACAGCCTTCAGAAGATGATATTAAAGGCCAGTGGGATAGACTCGTAATCAACACACAGTGAGTAAAGAATTATATGAGCCATTTCTGTGTTCAAAAATTTCAAGACATAAAAGTACTTTGCTGGATGGAGTTCCTCCAGATCTGTCAGAAGTTTTGCAGAGGTGAATAATAGTTATATATTCAGCCAAGAAAATCAAAAGACTAAGCACTTCAGCCTCCTAATGGATGCCATCAATTTTGCCCTCTGTGCTCCGAATTCCTTAATCAAAAACGATTTTGAGTCCATTTCCACAGCACTGATGGAACTTAACATCCATTACTCAGTGCTCAGGGAAGTGTGCAGCTTGAGGTGCATAACCTGCAGCAAGGGGTTATCTCATCCAGAAGCCCAGAGGAAGCAAAAATTATTCATTAAGGGAAGAGTTGTAGCATGAAAGGCAAAAATATTGAATTTCACATTTTTAATGTAACTGAGCTCTAAACTTCAAAGAGCCTAGCATAAAACAAAGTAGTATGACATATAAAATATAAGACAAAACACACACACACACACACACACACACACAACTCTTCCTCTGCACTAATTATTTGGCTTTTAGAGATCCCAAGTTCCAAGCTACTAGCTGTTCCAGGTACAAATCCACCACAAATGTATACTTTTCCACCATAAAAAGCATTAGTGATGCAGAATATTTTTTAGTAGTTTGTACTACTTGAGAGTGAAATATCTTTTCTTTACTGTGATTAGTTTTACTTGTTCTTAAAAATATTATCATTTCTAAAGGTTCTGAGTTTTCAAAGGGGGTTGATTCAGTTTATGTACTATAAATGATTGGTCTAAATGCTCAATATTTTGTTTAACAACTTTACCCATTGCTATAGAAAGTCTGGTGGCATAAGTGGGTAAGCCCTTAGCTGCTAATGGATAGGTTACTGATTCACCACACCCAATGGTTCTAGGGGAGAAAGAAGTGGCAATCTGCTTCCATAAAGATTGCAGCCTAGGAAACCCTATGGGGCAGTTCTACTCTGCCATATGCAGTCACTGTGTTGAAATTCACCTTATAACAACACCCATTACTACTAAATCTAAGAAAATCTATCTCTTTTAGTGTGGTTTGGTACCAAGCCAAAACTTTGTTTAAGGATCATTAGAAAAGCAATGACAGATTTCTAATATGTTAATTTAAATACAATTAACAGTGAAATGTATAGACTGACAGGTTATAATTGAAATAACAAATATAAAAATACCATTTATTAATAAATATGCTCATATTCTTCCTCATTAAAAGAGTAGCCCATAGCCTTTGTGATTTACTTATGTAAACATGTCTATGTTCATATTTAAAATAATATTTCATATATTCAGGATGTAGGAAAATTATAAGATAAAATGGGAAGGATGGCAGAAAGAATATTTGTATATTATTTTTATCTAATTTGTAAATCTCTAGCAATGTGTTATTTTTTATCATTTTTTTTTTAAATGAGACTTTTTTACATCTATGCTTTTATTTATTTTAGGTCTTTTCCCAACAACTACTGGGACAAATTTGTTAAAAGAAAGGTAATGCTTCTTTTTTCCTAAATTGTAATTTCATTTTGAATTTGATATTATATGTAGAATAGCATATTACAGTGTGCTTTATGTGCCTGCTAATGCCATTTTAAAATGGCAATCAAATTGAATATGAATTCGAAAAATAGCACATAAGAAATTCATACTCTGCAGCTTCAGAATAAACAAGCATTGCTTCAACTACCCCACCATGTGACTCAGGTGAATAAGCAGAACCCAGTCCATGATATGAACAAGAATTGATCAGAATGTTCTTTGAAATTGTTTAGGAAACTTAAGTTGGCTGAAGGCTATTTTCTGATGAGACACCTATGAATAACTAAGCCTGGGATTCTCGAGTACACAAGAAGTGAATTTTTTGGATGACAACAGAAGACTGAATTTTATTTATTTTATATAACTGTTAAGGATTTTTTTTAAAATAAAGTTTTCCTCTTTTGATGATGACTGCATTACTGCAGAGAATAGTAGAAAGAATAAAAGAAGTTTGGCTGTTGGCTAAGGCTCTGACTAAAGCTATTTTGAGACGTTGTGATCATCAGTGTGGTCTGAATGATCATGTCTGTCCTAGCTACAACCCAGGATTTTTATTTTTCTTGAATTTTTTTTTTAGAATGCAATAATGTATATAATAGTGCTTTAGCATTCTAAAATGCAATAGTCATTCTTTCCTGGCTCTCATTTCTTGAATGGCTCAGTTCACGCTGCCTTTCATGAGTCCCACCTCAAGTATACACTGAGAATATACTTGAGGCCAGAAATACCTACAGAATGAAGTGATCTTTCTCCCTTTGATTTCATAAGATCACTTAAAAGGTTTGGCAGCCGGCAGCCTGAGAACTTTTTATTTTAGGTCTGAGAGGAGGTGTGGCGCTTGCTCCAAGAGTATAAATAATACCATTTATCGCATTGACATATTTTTGCTTAAAGCAATACTTTTGAGATGAAAGAAGCAGTGTGTTTGTTGATTTTTATTTTGCTGTAAGTTTCTTGTCTCTGAGATCATGGAGGGGCTCCCTGGAATTTTGAGTAGCATTACATTAGGATATATGAACACATCCAAAGTAGGCAGAAGCTTTAAAATATTAAAGTAATTTTAATTGGACAATTTAATCACTTTATTCTTCTTAATTATTTAAGAGAATAAGGAGGAATTTTCTAAACTATTTTTAAAGCAAGAGTTATTTGAAGGGAACTATGTGTTTTTAGTCAAATAAATTGTAATGACAGCTGTATTCATTTCCTAAGGCCACCATAACAAAATACCACAAAATGGGTGGCTTAAGGCAACAGAAATTTATTTTCTACAGTTTCCAAGACTAGAAGTCTGGACTCAGGGTGTCAGTAGGACCATGACCTCTCTGAAGACTGTATAAGAAGATCCATCCCTGTCTCTTCCAGTTTTGGTAGCCCCAGGGAGCTCTGGTAGCATAGTGGCTAAGACACTTGCCTGCTAACCAGATGGCTGGTGGTTCAAACCCACCAGCCACTCCTCGGAAGGAAGGTTGGGCAATCCTACTTCCATAGTGATACTACCTCGGAAACCCAAGGAGGGCTCGCTATGAGTCGGGTTTGGCTCGACGGCACATAACAACAACAAGGTGTCCTTTGGCTTGTGACAACATCACTCCAATCTTTCCCTCTGTCTTCACATGGCCTTCTCTTCTGTGTCTGTCTCTGTCTTTACATGACATTCTCCCCGTTTGTCTCTCCATCTGTTTCCTCTTTTTATAAGAATATCAGTCATATTGGATTAGGACCCACCCTACTCCTGTATGACCTCTTGCTCCTTTAACTAATAAAATACCCTATTTCCACATAATGTCACATTCACAGGTATGGGATCAGGACTTCAAGGTATCATTTTGTGAGACACAATTCAACCCATCCCAGCCACTAAAACTATTTATGGCCTTCCTTCTACAGTATGTAATTTGTTTTCCAGGGAAAGGGTGAGAATACAGAGGAGAATCAGCATAGTCCATATCTCACATAGCTGTGAAAATAATGCAAAACAAATTGTTTTAATCATCCTAAATAATATATGTTCAGATGCTTTTTTAATACCTTTGTTCCTTGAGGTTTTCTTTTAATTTGCTTATTATATACTTTCAGAAAAGGTGTTTTTCTTTTTTAATTTCTACTAATCCTATATATCCCTTCTTTCTGTCAATTTTTATTTTGTCTTTTCTTCCTCCTGTAATGGTTTTACTTTGACATTCTCCCTCCTCCTTCTCCCTCCTTTGTATTTCCTTTATTTTGCCTTTATTTATCTTTACTTAATTTTCTACTCCTCTTTACCATTTTTGCTATCAATTATAGATAGTCCCCAACTTACAATATATTCATGTTATGATGAACCATATTTATGACTATCTTGTTTTTTTTGGACAACTTATCATTAATAATATGTATTCATGTGTGTCTTAAAATATATGTAAGTTTATATGTAATGTATCCAACCCTCAAAGATAAATAAAAATTAGACTTAATATTATTTTATTATCACAGTAAAAGACAATAATAATAAAATCAGGTACTCTACTAACATCAGAGCTAACTTACAACAGAGTCATCAAAACAGAACAACTCTGAAATCTCTTTCATTACTTTTCCTCTTTTTCCTCTTGTTTTCCATTGTTGTGTGGAGTTGTTATGATATATATATATGATATATAAACTGTAGGCCAAGAGTAGATATATTACAGAATATGATATGTTGGGCTCAAGGAAATTGGCTTTGGCCAAGGCTGGGTGCACTGCAAGCTCAAACCTAACGTCCTTATCAAACTGCACAACTAATGGGCAAAACCAAGAAAATGTGAAACAGCAAAGACAAAGCAAGGGATAAAGAAGTGGAGGGGGTATGCTGTTGTTGTTGTTAGCTGCCTCCCAGTCTCCCCCTAACTTATAGCAACCCCATGCCCGGTGGAAGGAAACACTGCCTGTTTGTTACATTCCCATGGTCAGTTGCATATCAGACCATTGTGATCCACAGGGTTTCATTGGCTGACTTTCAGAGGTAGATCATCAGGCCTTTCTTCCTAGTCCATCTTAGTCTGGAAGGTCCACTTAAACCTGTTCAGCATCATAGCAACATACTAGTCTCCACTGATAGATGGGTGGTAGCTTCACATTAGGTGCATTAGCTAGGAATTGAACCCACATCTCCCACATGGAAGGTGGGAATTCTACTACTGAAGCTCCATGATTGAAATCTAGATCATGGAGGGGATGTCATTATTGTAATGTCAAAGCCTCGTCACAGGGCCTTATGGAGAAAATCATCAGCTGTGGAGTCAGACATTACCTGAATTAATCTAGCCCCATTTCTTGCCAAGCTTAGCAACCTTGGGCATATTATGCTTTTTAAGACATAGTCTCTTTATCTACAAAATGGGATGATAATAACATGAATCTTATATATTGTGAAGTCACATAAGATAAAGGATGTCAAAGTTCTTATCTTAATTCCAGACACCAAGTATGAATTTGGTAAAGGTTATTTTCTTTCCCATTTCTACCTATTTCTTAAGCTTTTTCTTTAGTCTGTCCTCTTTTCACATGACTCCTTGTTTATGAATTTAACTGTGTCCCCCAAAAAAGATATATGAAAATCCTAACCCCTGTACCTATGATATTTAGGGGTTTAAAAATAGGGTTTTCTTTTGTTACATTAATTAGGTCGTATGAAGTAGAGCGGGTCTTAAACCTAATCCCTTCTGAATGGTGTCTTATAAAAAGGGAAAGCAGACACAAAGTGATACACACAGGGGAAGGAGAATATATTAGGAACTGTCTACAAGCCAAGGAATGCCAATAAATGCCTTGGGCTAATGACAAGGAAAGACCATTCCCTAGAGATGAGATCTTGATTGAAGCCTCCAAAACTATGAGACAATAAATTCACAAAACACTTGTGATATTTTGTTATGGCAGCTCTAGGAAACTAAGACACTTTATTTTGAATTAGAAATCTTATTTTCTTAGATAGGTATTATTTAAAATCTACAATTATTTTTTAGACCTTAAGTAGTATGATCATAGAAAGTAAACCACCACTAGATATTTAACTACCTTTAACATATCACAAACAAAAGTATTTTGATGTTTGTATGTAAATGCATAAATAGTATTGATTATTAATTAATGCCAGTAAAACATTTTTTTTCCTGACTCCCAGGTTATGGATAAATATGGAGAGTTCTATGGCCGAGATAGAATCAGTGAATTATTAGGCATGGACAAAGCAGCTCTGGATTTCAGCGATGCTAGAGAAAAGAAGAAGCCAAAGAAAGATGGTTCCTTATCAGCCGTGTGAGTGTTATTTCTGCTCTATGCTAGAGGCTTAGGTTGAAAGGCAGAAAAAAATAATACATTTCTGAACATTGATTGTTTCTTTAGTGTCAGAGGAATAGACAGAAATGGGAAACAGACAATGTATATAAAGTCTCCTTTCCTAGTTCTGGGTATTTCACCTATGGAATGATTGAGTTATTTTCATTAATTTTTGAAGGTTCTGTATTCATTATTTACAAGAACACTTAATTGTTCTCATGAGAAATCTGCACATAGACCAAGAGGCTGTTCTTCAAATAGAACAAGGGAATACTGCATGGTTTAAAATCAGGAAGGGTGTGCATTAGGATTGTATCTTTTCACCATAATTATTCAATCGGTATGCTGAGCAACTAATCCAAGAACCTGCATTATACAAAGAAGTACGCAGCATCAGGATTGGACAAAGAACCATTAACAACCTCTGATATGCAGATGACACAACTTTGTTTGCTGAAAGTGAAGATGACTTGAAGCACTTATTGATGGAGATCAAAGACTACAGTGCTCAGTATGAATTCTACCTCAACATGAAGAAAATTAAAATCCTCACAACTGGACCAATAAGCAACATACTAATAAATGGAGAAAAGCTTAAAGTTGTCAGGGATTTAATTTCCCTTGGATCCACAGTGAACACTCAAGGAAACAGCAGTCAAGAAATCAGACGTACTTCTGGTAAAATGGTGGAATAGGCAGACAAGCTACACAAACCCTCTTCAACAAAGAAAAGAGAAACCAATTGACAGAGATACAGAAAATAATCCTGGAGCCCTGAGCTTTGAAAGCAAGTATACAGAAGTGGTTTAAGGATCAAAGCTCTTGTGGCATAGTTCCTAAGACTTTTGACTGCTAACCAGAAGGCTGGAAGTTCAGACCCACCAGCCACTCCTTGGAAGGAAGATTGGGCAATCTACTTCCATAGAGATATCGCCTTGGAAACCCGAGGAGGAGTCACTATGAGTTGGAAATGACTTGACAGCAGTGAGTGAGTAGAACAACCTGAATGAAAACAGTGAGTATGGAGACAGATGGAGCTGCAGACTGTCAGCTACTCTAATGGCATCAACAGCCTGAATATATCCAAGGGGTGTTGGGACCTGAGAATTGACCTAAAGATCAGCACTATTCACCAAGGGCTGCAGCGACAACTGCACTGGTGGCCTATAACTAGGAAGGGAAACAGCAAGGAGTAAGACAATCTGAGCTGTGGACTTTCAGCTGTACAGAGAGTGCAGACATTTTGATTGTTTTCAAGGAGCAGCCATATTGGATATTTAAAGGGACCAAGGGTGCAACCATTTTGAATGTTTACAAGCAGTGGCCATTTTGGATATTTAAAGCATTCTCATTCACTTTCCAGGGAACTAAGAGTAGGCTCCATTTGTCAAGGATGGCAGGGACATACAGGAGGCTGACAATGGAAAAAGAGACAGGTGGTGAGTGTATAAGTGCTCCCAAGTAGTAAATAGAGGAGCATAGTACCCTGCTTATGTAAATAACATCCAAGGAAAACAAAAATCATGGGCAGGTCACTACAACATGCAATCACCAATTAAATATAAACACAAACACATCACAATGTCTTGGAGGCAACAGAGCATCACAGTCCACACAAAGAAACAAGATAAAGCAAGAGAAACAAGAGACCAGGATACAGACCCAGAACACATCCCTGAGGAAGAAGCAGCATTAGAACTCCCTGAGAAGGAATTCAAAAGAGATGTATTTAAGTATGTTCAATGGATTGAGAGACAGAAAGGAAAACACTGATAAAATTGAGGAAAACACAGAGAAAATCCTATAACAATTTGGAAAGACAACACAAGAACAAAATGACAAAATAAATGAAAAATTAGAAATGATATAAAATCTACAAATAGAAATCCAGAAGATTAATACTACATTTTCAGAAATAGATAACACATCGAATAGGCAAAGGAGTAGAATTGAGTCAATGGAAGACAGAATTAGTGAGAATGAAGACTTCAATACTTCCTTGGAAAGGGATCAATCAGAAAAAAGATCAAAACAAAATGAAGAAAGCCTAAGGATCATGTGGAATACATCAAAAGGAATATCCTACATGTAATCAGAATTTCAGACCAGAAAGACACAAATAAAATGACAGAGAAAATTGTTGAAGATTTGTTGGAAGAGAATTTCCCTGGTATGATGAATGATGAGACTATATCTATTCAGGAAATCCAATGAACCCCAAACAGGATAGAGCCCAAAAGAAAATCACGAAGACATGTCATCATCAAACTCGCCAATACCAAAGACAAGGAAAGAATCCTGAAAGCAGCACAGGAAAAATGAAAAGTTAACTACAAGAGGCAACCAATAAGACTAAGCTCAGATTTCTCAGCAGAAACCATGCAGGCAAGAAGACAATAGGATGGTATATTTAAAACTCTGAAAGAAAAAAATTTCCAACCAAGAATTATATACCCAGCAAAATGGTCACTCAGATATGATGGTGAAATTAGGACATTTCCAGATAAGCAGAAATTAAAGGAATTTGTTAAAACCAGCCCAACCTTACAAGATATGCTAAAGGGAGTCCTTTGGACAGAGAACCAACAACAGCAAACAACTGACCATTAACACAAATGATGACATAACCCAGAAACCAACCCAGTTACAGAAGTATCCAAAGTAAACAAGACTACAAGATTGTAAACAGGGACCCAGAGACATCAATTGACAAATGAGGACAACTATAAACCAAAAAGAAGGAAAAAGTTGTATAGTTACAGAACTTCTAAATGGTAGGGAAATCAAGACAACTACAAGATAGAACAGACTGTTCTAAACTTGGGGAAAAAATGATAAATCACAGGGTAACCTCAAAGAAAAATGATAAGCCTTCACATAAAAGTAAAAGAGGACTAGCACAAATATTTAGGAGCTCTCGTAGCTTAGTGCCTAAAGCACTTGACTGCTAACCAGAAGGCTGGTGGTTCAAACCCACCAGCCACTCCTCAGAAGGAAGGTGGGGCAATCTACTTCTGTAGTGATACTGCCTCGGAAACCCAAGGATGGGTCTCTATGAATTGGTTCCAACTTGACAACACATAACAACAACAGCACAAATATTTAGCAAATACTAAAACAATAGCAAAGAAGGAAAGGATTCATAAAAAAATGAGCTCAGCACAGAAAATGATATGGAACAAAGAAATCAGCAACACCACAAAAAAGCACATAATCAAATGACAGCAACAAATTCATGCTTGTCAATAATTGCACTGCTAAAAGTGTATGAAGAGAAACTACAGACTGGGAAAAAATATCTGACAATGACATATCTGACAAAGGACTTAACTCTAAAATTTATAGAAAACTCCAATACCTCAACAACAAAAAGATTAACAATCCAATTAAAAAATGGTCAGAAGACATGAACAGACACTTTACATAAGAGGACATTCATGCGACCAGCAAATATATGAAGAAATGTTCATGATCATTAGCCATCAGAGAGATGCAAATCAAAACAACAGTGAGATACCATCTCACCCTTCTAATGGCAAAGTTCAACAAGACAGAAAATAACAAATGCTGGCAAGGATGTGGAAAGATTTGGATTCTCATACAGTAGTGATGGGACTATAAAATGATACAACCACTGTGGAAAGTAGTATGGCGATTCCTTAAAAAGTTGAAATTAGAAATACCATTTGACCCAACAATCCCATTACTATGTATATAACCTAAAGAAATGAGAGCCAAGATAAGAACAGATATATGCACACCCATGTTCAATACAGCATTATTTACAATATACAAAAGATGGAAATAACCTATGTGCCCATCAATAGAAGAATGGATAACTGAACTATGGTACATATACATAATGGAATACTGTGCAACACTAAAAAATAATGTAGAATCTGCAAAACACCGCATAAGGTAGATGAATTTTTAGGGCATTGTTGTTGTTGTTGTTATGTGCCATCGAGTTGGACCCGACTCACAGCGACCCCTCCTTGGGTTTCTGAGGCAGTATCACTATGGAAGTAGATTGCCTCATCTTCCTTCTGAGGAGTGGCTGGTGAGTTTGAACCGCCAGCCTTGTGGTTAGCAGTCCAGTGCCTTAGGCACTAAAATACCAGAGCTCCCTGAAGGGCATTATGTTGAATGAAATAAGTCAATCACAGAAGGACAAATATAGTATTAGTTCACTATTTTAAAATGTCCAGGAAAGGTTTATGTATGGAAGGAAATTTTGTGAATTACCAGGGGTCGGCAAGGAGGGGAGGGGGGGAGTGCTGCAAAAAAATAAAATAAAATGCATTGACCCATGTCACTTTAGTTTTGTGTATTTCAATGTACATAAATTATATTTCAATAAAATATATTTTTAAAAAATCAGATTTATTGCACTGGGAAAATCTGCTGCAAAAGACTTCTTTAAAGTGTTGAAGAGAAAAATGTCACTTTGAAGACTAAGGTGCGACTAACTCAGGCCGTGACATTTTCAGTAGCCTCCTATACATGTGAAAGCTGAGCAATGAATACAGAAGACTGAAGAAGAGTTGATGCTTTTGAGGTGGAGTATTGGCAAAGAATACTGAAAGTACTATGGACTACCAAAAGAACAAACAAATCTGTCCTAAAAGAAGTGTTTCTGGAAGGAATGTTCTTTAGAAGCAATCATGACTAGACTTCTCACCTACTTTGGTCCTGTTGTCAGAAGGGACCATTCTCTGGAGAAGGATACCATGGTTGGTAAGGTAGAGGGTCAGCAAAGAAGGAGCAGACCCTTAATCAGATGGATTGACATAGTGGCTACGATGAAGCACAGCAAGCATTGTGAGGATTGGGAAGGACCAGGAAGTGTTTCGTTCTGTTGAACATAGGTTACTATGAGTCAAAGCCAACTTGATGGCGCCTAACAACAATAACATAAAACAAGAGAAGATAAAGAAGATGCATGCTCTTAATTTAATTTGCCTTTTGTATCCTTATAT